ACCAACTTCGATAGGGATTTTGATATTTGAACATCTAAATTTACTGTAGATGCATCGATCTGCCACTTTAAGATTGAGTAAATATGGCTCTAAACAAAACATTTTGTTTTGTATGAAGCATAAAACACACCTCTAGATGAGTTTGTCATATCAGCAGATAGACTCTGTCCGAATTGGTCAACCAATCTCTGTTTTATTTCTTTTTTAATATCCGAACTTTTGATATCACCCTGTGCGTTCCAGACAAAAGAAAATCCTGTATCATCTAAAATTTGTTTCAGGGAAGTTAACCATTTAAATGAGTATTGGCCTGAGTTATGTAAGTTATACATTAACTGATACAAAATCCCAGATAATTTGTTACTACCGCTTTGCACTAGCCTTGACCAAAAGCATAGTAATTTAGTTTTGATATTAATTTTTAATGGAAATCTGCCAGTTTCCCCATAGACCATATAATTTGGTGTTGTTGATCTAACATTCAAGACTCTTTTTAGGAAACTTAAGTGCACCTTTTCAATCATGTCAACATTTTCATGACCCCCAATTTCCGACCCATAAAGTAAAATTGGAGCGACCATACAATCAAATAGTCGAAACTGCAGATCTGAAGGGATGTTTACATTTCTTAACTTATAGTATAATGCATACAGTGCTTTTTGTGATTGTTCAACAAGTTTTTTCTTTGATAAATTAAAATAATTACAATTGTGTCTAATTAATAATCCCAGGTAATTATAACTGTCGGTGAGCTGTAACTCCTCGCCCCTTAGCATGAATCTCATATTTCTTTTACGCTTCGCCTTCTCAAACACCATTTCTTTTGTCTTATCAATGTTTACATTTAGTTTCCAGTCAGTACAGTATTCATCAAACTTGTTTAACATTATTTGTAAATCGTTAGCTGATTCTGCCAATAATATTGTATCATCAGCATATAATAACAAGAAAATTCGAATATACATGCCTAGTTCATTTAGACAATATTCATTTACCTTTTCTAAACCTGTTATATCATGCTGAATAAAATAGCTTTCAAGATCATTAAGGAAAAGAGAAAAAAGAAAGAGTGATAAGTTTTCACCTTGCCTAACTCCAACTTCGCATGGAAAGAAATTTGAACAACTCGAGTTATGTCTTACACATGATTTGACATTAGAATAGAGGTTATAAATAGAGTTAAATATTTTGCCTGTTATGTTACTAGAAATAAGCTTTTGCCACAGTCCTACCCTCCACACAGTATCAAAGGCTTTCTTGAAATCTACAAATGTACAGAATAAACGCTTTCCAGAGAGTAAATAAAGTTGAATCAAACAGTATAAAATAAATATATTATCAAGTGTGGAGTGACCTTTCCTAAATCCCGCTTGGCATTTTGAAAGTGATTCTATTTCTTGTGCAAATTTGTCTAGTCTGTTATTTAGTATAGCTGTAAGTACTTTACCTAAACATGATACCAGTGTAATACCTCGATACGAGTCTGGATCTTTAAGAGCTCCCTTATTCTTATAAATGGAATTAATTATTCCCATTGACCAGATTTCGGGTATGATCCCTGTGTCGAATACAAAATTGAACAATTTCACGTAAAGAGGTAAACATACAGACATGGAATTTTTAATAAACTCGTTTCTTATTCCATCATTTCCAGCGGCTTTGTCATTTTTTAAATTTTTAATGACTTTGATAATTTCTTCCTCGGTAATAGGCCCATTTAAAATTTCGTCGAACTCATTTAACTCTAGAATAGGTAATTGAAACTCTTCCTCTTCATTTGCCACACTTTCGTTAAGCTACTTAAAATGTGCATACATTACTTCTAGTGAAATTGGACTTTCCTTTTTTTGTTTCGGAGAAAATCTATTTAAAACTTTCCAAAATTCTTTCGGGTTATTTGTTGATATATTACGAAGCTCTTTTTCTGTCTTCAACTGATGATTTTGAAAACATTTGTTTATTTCTTTTTTGTATTCATTACTTGCTCTTTTCAGTGACTTCTTATTATTCAGTATACTTTTCTGTTTATTATATTTATATTTTGCCGAGTGAAATTGTTTTCTTTTCAGCTTACATGATTTATTAAACCATGGTTTATTCCTATTTTTGGTCCCATGAGTTTTTTTAATCGGATTTTTATTAGCAAAGGTTCCAAAAGAATCCTTAGCTGCCTGCGAGAAAAAAATTGTTAAACTAGTTATAACTCTGTTTATATTATGATTATCTTTTTTGAAGGATTCTATTTCATTACACAAATCAAGCACTTTTTCCTCGTTCTTTCTTACATTTTCGATGATTTTGTGTTTATCCTTTTCAATCCATTTTATTGACTTCCTTTTATGTGAACTTTTTTCTTTTTCTATAGTAGTGACCTCTTTTGTGAGTTTGACATGAATGCGGTTATGTACATCTGAGAATAATGCATCAAAAGGAATAATCTCATACTCTTCAATATGCGTAAAAAGATTTGACGAGACAATAAAATAGTCAATTAAACTGTTGTCTTTCGTAGTAGCCTTACCTATACCCTTATCCGATCCAGTCCTACCCCCTGTAATATGCAAATTATTTCTCTTACAAAACTCTACTAATTTATAACCCTGAGTGTTTGGACGCATTTTATCTTCTGAACATCTTTTTAGTGGAATCTTTAATGAAATTAAATTTTGGTAATCATATAAAAAATCGGTTATTTCATCGTTTAAATTTTCGTCTAAAACCTCTACCAAATTTTCATCTGGAACGACAAAATCCAAAAGGGTTCCAGTTCTGGCATTAAAATCACCAATTAATGAACACAACTGTTCATCATCCCTAAGTATTACCATCTCCCTTTCTATTTCCTCAAAAGCATCTTTTGATGCATATCTGCTATTTTCTGGTGGTATATAAACACATCCGATAGACATGTTTGATTGGTTTGAAATATTTTTTAGTTGCATCCATTGAACAAATTCACAGTCCGTTTTGATGAACTTGATATTTCTTTCTATTAATTTACTATATATGACCGAGATGCCACCAGATTTTTTCTTGAAATTTTTTCTACATTTTGAAAAAGAAAGATACCCATCGGGCAAAGATAGCATATCAAATTCATCAATTTTTTATTCAATACATACCAGAATATCGTATTTTTGAATAGTTTCAATGAATTCGGGAATAATCAATTTAGATTTCAGACCATCAATCCACCCACTTTAATTTAGAACATATAAAGAATAGCCCTTCCCTGCAAAAAATAGTGTCTCTGATGTCATTTTCTAAATAATTCACCAAAAGTTTCATTTCTGCAAATTTGTTGGTATTACAGTATAAATGTATAGGACTGAAAAAAAAGCAGTTGAATTTCATGAGCAAAGGACAAATTGATGCAAAATCCTTAAGTATATTATTCAGACACTTTATAATTCAAATTTCACTGCATTTCATCAACTTTATGATTTTGAGCCTATGAGTGAAACAAATTTATCTCCTACCCCTGAATTCTTGATTCTAGTTATTTTTGAACTGTGATTTAGTCTTCAGTGGCAAACGGAAGATAATCAATCAGGAAGAAGGGATAAAAATATTTTGACAGAGATAAAACATTTTAAAACTCTAAAAAAAATAATTTGACGCTTGCGTGGTACGAATAATAATTTCAATTGAAAAAACATAACCATTTGAGATGGGTCTAGATCAGTTATTTTTACATTTTTAGTCTTTGAGATAAGAGTTTCTCCCACGCGCGACATGTAAATAAACGACAGCAAGTGAGTGGTATGATTTTAATCAGAATGGTGGAAGTGCATATTCTTTTTATTAATTTGTTTCAAGAATCATTTATAAGATGTTGATTATGATATTAAAACGGTAATGCGTCTTTTAGTTTACCGATACATGTAGACATTAGGTTTTTTTTTCAAAACTTAAGCTTTTGGGCGAAGAGAGGCAAATCGAATTTTCAATCTAATGAGCCATAACGGCGGCTGATGAAGGTTCTTTATCGCCAGGTCATGTAATCTAGACATAACTCCTAATGGATCTTTGTAATAAAAAGATGCGATATCATCATTGAATACAAGCAAAAGTTTCTATTCTGTGTTTTTTATTTGTAGATTAATCCTTATTTACTATATAGTTCCTCAAATTAAAATTTTGAAACACTATGAATCATAGAAAAATGGATTTGAACCGACCTCTAAACGACCCAAGATTCAAAAGGAGGAATACCTAAACTGCATCCATGCTTACATTCACATCCGTAAAATTCGAAAAAAAAACTGTTTTTTTTTGTAATATTTCAATTTGACAATACTCCCTGCTTGTTATGCATTTTGTATGGAATGGATGTCTGTGACATATTTAAATTTCTCATTTTTAAAAGTAGACTTTAATTTGTAGATGACTTTGTCGCATTCAACGTTTCCGTAAATTGTACTTTTTTTCATTGTGATATAAAATGTGACCGTTTTGTGTATTTTCAAGTATTACATATTAAGTTATGTTGAATGACATGCCTAATGGCAAATTATAAAATTTTGAATTATTTAGTCTTTTTGAAAGAAAACCTAGCTAGGATTAACAGTGCTACAGTATAGTAATCGGCTCAGAGAAAACATATAAGATTTCCTCTGCCTTTTTTGCATAATGGATGCAATGTGGGTACTCAGGGAAACAATGATACGTAATTTCAATATTTGTTGACAAATTATGATTTCTCAGTAATGACATGTCCTAAAAATATATCATAATAACCATAAACCGTGATTGTACACCTTTGTGAATATGAGATCAAAATTCCATCAAAATCGGACCTCAAATTAGTTTTTAACAATATTTTTAAAAAATGTGTTTTTTATATGAAATAACAGGCAAATTTGGGTTTGGTGAAACTCTTTTGACCTACATTTCGTAAGACTGTGTGTAGGTCAGCCGAGAACCCGCTTAGTGTTTGTCACCTACATGTAAAAAATCGAACGCACCTTTGTTATTTCCCTTGTTTTCATTCACGTCGTTGAAGGAAGAATGATTCATGGCGCTGGTTGTATTTTCGCTTGCCTCTTGGCAGGCAGTTCTTTTGTGCCTATTGTTTGCTCTGATATACGTAGGGAGCTTATATGTTTGGGCTAGTGTTGGAAATAAAACTAGGTAATTGATAAAATAACTTAGAATGGTTTGGAATCCTTCAACAATCAGTATCAGTCAAATTCACTCGAAAAAAAAATACAGCTTACAGGGACATCTGACAATTTATTGCTTTTACCTGTCTGTGTTTGGGTTATAAATATCACTGCTATTAAGCTAGTTTCAGGTTTCAACCAGTGCAATACGATTGATTCATACATAATGTCATCTGTTTAATGCAAAAGCACAGCAGATCAACAGCAAGGATTTTTTAGCACAGAAATCGTGTTTCATGTTTTACATAGAAAAATAATTGTTACCACTGTTGTGAAAATACATAGAAAGTACCAGCAGGATTCAAACCCACAACACAGCCAGATATAAAAGCAATACACCAATCTCGTGTTTTTTATGAATGAGGAACACCGGCTGACCCTAGATAAATATTTTGTAAACTATGTCATTGAACAATTGGTTCTTACTAACGTAATAACATAAGCATTGTGACCTCAAATATTTATGGGAAAGTGAACGATATTGAAAGTTGACTATACTCAAACTGACTTACCCCAAGAAGATCTTTCCTAACTCAACCAATTAGACTTCCTCAATATCTCCAATTACACTTCCTCAATATCTCCAATTACACAACACTCTTCCCCCTTTTCTTTTTCTGTGCTGCATACAACAGGGGTCACCACACCAGGCGAAGTGAGCAACTTTGTCGCCCTAGGATTCCCCACCTAACTCTAGAGAAGCTCTAGGGAGAATTTTATGTCGCCCTCATGAAGTGTTCTAGAATCGTTTACAAGCATTTTCAACGTCTACTTGATGATGGAAAACGGCTGTTTCCAAGAAAATACCGCAAACCATCGCACACGATTTGAAATTAACAGAGTTTTACTAGATGTTTTCAACAAGTGACAAAAAGTTTTTTTTTCGGAATTCATATTCAAAATAATTTAAAGAACAAACATATTTATGTTTTATTTAATATTATAAAACACAATTGTGAGCAATTCAAAACAGACTTTTGTTTGAAAAATCTTTGAGATGCAGCAAAATTTGACCAATGTCATGAACAATGTCAAATCATCAAATTATTCAGACCTAGCTGCAGAATCATGGCTCTTATGGTCCTTATGATATTTTTTGACAATTTGCATCTACAGGTAATTCAGACCACAAGCATGGCAAGGCAAGGAAATACCACATTAACAGTTGTCATGCAAAAGGTTTTGAAAAATAACAAAAGATATAGATGCTTGGAAAATTTAATTCTTAAAAAGTATTAATGGGATCCATCAATTCTCCCTGAAGTCTCCTTGTTGGGTCTTCACTTCTCCCTGTTTGGCTGCAGAATCATAGCTCTTATGGTCCTTATGATATTTTTTGACAATTTACGTCCACAGGTAATTCACACCACAAGCATGGCAAGGCAAGGAAATACCACCTTTACAGTTGTCATGCAAAAGGTTTTGAAAAATAACAAAAGATATAGATGCTTGGAAAATTTAATTCTTAAAAAGTATTAATGGGATCCATCAATTCTCCCTGAAGTCTCCCTTTTGATGCTTCACTTCTCCCTGAAGTCTCCCTGTTGGGTCTTCACTTCTCCCTGTTTGGCTGCCAGGGAGAAATCACTTCTCCCTGTAATTCTGAAGTGTGGTGACCTCTGATACCATCCATCCAAACAGCTCACAGGTCCACCTGTGGACAACCCCAAGTCTTTCATTAGGAAACCATCTGGTTAGATCCTTTCATGTCACCAACAGATGTAATGGTTATCCTTAATGACATACCCCATGACCACATCTGTTTAACTGCCAGGTACTTACATACACTCATATGTGCCAGTTGGAGTAGCTCGCAGCACCATTGTTGTGAAAATACATGGATGGAACCAGCGGGATTCAAACCCTCAACCTCAGGTTCTTAAGGCAAATCTCTAAATGACTAAGCCAATTAAAATTTTCCCTAACACATTAAGTTAGACTATTCATATCTTCAATTATACAACACCATATAGGACTTGTGGTCCATGTTTCAAAAAACCCTTTGAAAGCTGCAATTTCTACCAGCAGTTACAAGAAACACATTTAATAAGTAGAAGATTTTCACCTTGGATTTGACAGTTGCGGTCATCTCAGTACCAGAATCTATGACAAACAAGACAATTCCCCTTTTTGAATTTAGCTTGGAGTTGGAGTTTGGTAGTTTTGTTATAATGTTTTTAAGACCAAAGGCTTCAAATTGGTATTTGCTGTTTCTTCACTTAACACTGAGCAATTTATACAAACATGACAAAGCATCTAACACAAAGCAGGGCTCATATTTTGGTACATATATCAGATGAACATGTTCTCATCCTGAACATAGGTTTAATTTACCCATGACATTAAATAGCAATCCATCAGCATCATCATCATCTATTGTAAATCATATTATTGTTGGTCTTGTTTCTTTTATCTGTTTCAGTTGCAACTGAAGTTATTGATAGTTGTCTGAGCGTTGCTTTAATCAGTAATATTTTCTGTTTCAGTAACCACCAGACCATCTTCCTACACTCCTTAGATGATGTACAATTAATGTTGTTCTTGTGTCAGTGATTTATTGTCTTTTTATCATTTTTTTCAGAGACCATCCTGATGTTATCAAAAGAAGGTTTATGAGTGTAGCTGTCATTTCTGTTATAGTTCCACTACTATTATGTTGTTTTGGTACAGAATCCAGCAAAGGGGAGGTAACTTATCAAAACCATAAAATAGAGTTAATGCTATATAATATTCAGTCAGCCGGATATGATTGATGCTAAAAAGGCAGCCATTCTAAGAAAAAGAAGACAACTTTGAATATCTTAACTACATCTTGACCTATAGCACAATTAAGAAGATGTGGTATGATTTCCAATGAGCATGATGAGTCAACTATCCATCAGAGTCCAAATGTGGTAGATGATATTTACATACAGCCTTTAACAATAAGCAAAACCCATACCTTATAGTAAGGTAAAACAGCTATGAAAAACTTATAGATAACACACATTAGACACAGATAGATTTGGTTTTTTTTCTAGCTCTTCATTATCAATGACATTTAATTTCCCTCCTAAGATAAACAACTCACAAAATGGATTTCTTGTTACATGGTCAAAATCAGAATTGGCAAAAGAACTATTAACTTATTAACATATGGTGGAGCCCTTCCTCTGTTGAGGCTCCCATCACTTTCCATCGGCAATTAACCACTACAACTTTTACAATTCATGTGTATTAGTCATTATGTAAATATTTATATAATTAGCAATTGCCCTAAAAATGCATGAAATATTTGCCCCTGAACATTAAGCAAAATATAATCAATCAGTCTTCATGAACGTTAATTTTTTCCATTTCACTTTTACCGTAGTTATGATAGATATATTTGTAATAATATTACAGGAGCATTATTTTGACTTTTTACAGTTGTTTCTATGATATCATCTATATACAAAATTAAAAATGTTACTGATTTTTTCAGACGTTGTTAGAATGGATGGGAATAAGATTTAAAGGTTTTCTACCAGCATTATTGATTCCACTTGGCCTTACTATGGTAATGAATACAGTATTGTCTGCTCTATGGTCGGGTTGTTGTCTCTTTGACACATTCCCCATTTCCATTCTCAATTTTAGTATTGAAGATTTAGTCATATTTTGTTTAGATTTTATTTTAATATTCCCTGAAGTAGTTCTATATATAGAGAGAGAGAATAATGCACATCTAGTTACATATTAATTGCAGTATCAACCTGAGAAGCCAATATCAACCTGTGGGCAGATGGCCCCAGAGGACTTACAAACACAGCATTTGAAAAAAGGCATTTTAGGTCCAATATTTTATTATTGTTCAACATTAACTTTATTTTAATTTGGGTATAATCTTGATTAAGAAATAACCAATTCTAATTATCCATGTTATGGCACTGAACGTTGTACTCTCCATCTGGTCTTGAGACCAATCAAAATTTAATTGGCCTCATGAATTTTTGTACTTGGCAACTTTAATTTGGATACCTGTTTTTCGGTATGTCTTTCTTACAACAATGTACAAGAAAGATTAAACAAGTAGCTGAATAACAGATGGTCCACATGTTTTAAGGTGGATAGAATACATGTCAAACAACTGTGGACACTAGAAATTAGTTCAAGCTTTCTTTGGGAATATGTAATGAAAAATACATAAATACATATTCATATAATGAACTCTCGGTGTTACTTTCAAATGTGTTGTAGCATTTGAAATTGATTTGATAAAAAATACTAGTACAATGTATATACTGGTTCATCTGTTATCAGATAATAAACTTTCAATGCTATTTTTAAATGCGGTGTGACATGGATTTGACATGATTAAATATTGACATTTTGGAGAAGATGTTACTAAGTTGAAAAACTTGTGTCTAATCTGTTTGCTCTTTTTGAACAATAAAATATGTTTTAAATAAACTAAACTATTGACTTTATAATACATTTACCATGTTTACCCCTTTGTATATTTGTTCTTTTGAAAATGGAGTGTGATAAAGGGTATATGATGTATGTTTACAATGCAGGTGCAAAATAACAGCATCTCTATCAGATTTTCAAAATTATGATATCGAGCACTAACACTGTAATCATATGAAAAATGAAGAATGTCTACCATTATTAAGCTATACCTGGTAGCAAGCATTTAAATAAGACAAATAGTATAAGATCATACTGCAAAATGATAACTGTAATCATATTTTAAGTTTCTATTTTTCTATTTCAGATTTTATTCACAGGACCATTAACCTTACATTACATGGATGGTGTATTCGGTTTGTACTTAGGTAAGAATAAAGAAACTTATCATAATTTAGATAGATAATACTGTTACACAGAATTTTCTGACAAGTAACTAAAAAAGATATACCTCAAAGTTGTAAGGACTGTTCCACAAAATCATACATGGGATCTAGGCAAGGCACTTTGAAATCACAACTATTGGTGTCTTGTACAGTGAACTTGTAAATTTGTCTCTTTAGGTGGTAACATCATTTTGATATTGCCTACCATGGGTACCAGTACCATGTATGTTTAAAGGTAATAGCTTTAATGATTGATTATTTAAGGGCATACTAGAATGTCAAATAAGATTAAAAAAATTAACAGAAAATTTTTTGTGGTCAAAGTTTGATTGTTTGTAAAATTTTAAAAGTACACATCAACCTTAAATATAAAGAAATGTAGGATTTACATAAATAAGATAGCAAACCAAAAAACACAATAAAACCAAAATTGTCATTTTCAGGGCAGCATAGATCTTTAACAGTAGGCAGGTGTGTAGACAATATGTAAAACTCTAAAGGAATCAGATTTTAAGCTTTCATTGAATTAAAAAATGTTAAATGACGGCAACACAATTGTGCTTTTTATTTCACCTTAATTAAACGAAATGTGCACTCATAAATAACCTTTTACCTTGAAATCCACAAATAGATAGTACCCAATGATATAAAACAATGAATACACAGAGTTTTTGTGACAAATATATTTCTGTTTTTTTCAACAGAGCCAAAGTATTGGACACAAAGTGCGACAAATCTAGTCTGGTTAAGGAACCATATAGTCGTAAGTACAGTTTAAATAGAAAAAGAACAGGGGTATATTTCAACAAGGCAGCATCAATTCAATACAACAAAATAAGACCTTCAAAACATCAAATGGTCAATATGTAGTCTGCAACAATAGATAATTTTCACTGCAATGCAACTGTACCATATGTCAAGCTCTAAATTGCCCAGAGCTTATTTAAGTTGTGAATATATGTAAGTGCTATTCCAAGGGAAATTGTATGGGAGGATTTGATTGACACCACAAAATATGTTTTTCTGTGGGTAACAGGGGTGGAAGCAAATACAATTCTGTTACAAAGAAAGATGATATTTTATAGTGTGTCTTTTTATGTTAAAAGCAACCGCATGGAGACTGTGTATAATTCATATGGGGTTAGTAGGCGTGGTTTATTTCAATACACGGTTAGTAGTGGTGTTACTTCCCTTTGTAAAAACAACACAGTGTTGAGGAAAAATGTGAAAGGTTTCAACTAACGAAGAAATTGATGATGAACAATTGAAATAAATGCAGAAATACATTAAAAGCTAACAAGTTGTGATTGCTGGCATTTGTTTTTGTATAGACCAATGGAAGTAGGTTCTTTATATTGAAGACTTGATCACTTTGATAGGCCACTAGTCTAAATGCCGCATGTTAAGATAGTCGGTAAGATAAATTCTTTACACAGTGTACTACTGACCATATATATCGTATTAGGTCACTAGCACACTCCGAGCTATAAGGAAATTATTGACTCCATATATATCATATTAGGTCACCAGCACACTATGTAACTAATATTATTAAGGGTTCTCAAAACTTTCCATCTACTTATCATATCACAGTTTTTTACCCTGATAGCTAGAAAAACTTGACAAAGTTTGGTTTAATAAAATACCTTATAAGAGAGTTAACTTGTGATATGTGGTTCAAAATATATGTTTTATAGAGGGTACCTTGACAAGACAGGTTTTCTCTTGTGAAAAGTGACCTTTATAGTTGGTTTGACTATATATATATATATATATATATATAAACAAGTCTAAATTGAAAACAACGTTCAAACCTATGATTGCGTTGGATAAAAACCGCAATTTCAATACGTGTGCATGCAAAACAAATTTCTTGATAGAGGGGTCTAAATACAGCACAAACAACATTTTCCTAAAGACCAAAAAAGTGAAAAAGTATATTTTAACAAAACGCATTTGACTAACAGGTCGAACAACAGATGTTCTTAAACCCTGCTGACTGCCATTGGCGATTGCCAAATAAACGGATCACAAGATGTTACAAAATAGATCTTTAAAAATTTATAAATTTAATACCAAACAAAAAACAATAAACTTGCGGAAAAGATGGTATACCGCAAACAAAAGGTGCAAAAATTAGTACACCATATCCAGATTTCGACAATTAATGTCTCTTCAGTGATGTTAGGAATCGAAACGGTATTTGGAAGGCCATATAATTTACCTCAATTTAGGATAGACTCTCGAATTTTGAAAGAGTCAAAATAGGATGAACGGATCATATAAACCAGAAGGCAAATATAATACAAGCCCAAACGAAAAAATATAAACAAGTCTAAATTGAAAACAACGTTCAAACCTATGATTGCGTTGGATAAAAACCGCAATTCCAATACGTGTGCATGCAAAACAAATTTCTTGATAGAGGGGTCTAAATACAGCACAAACAACATTTTCCAAAAGACCAAAAAAGTGAAAAAGTATATTTTAACAAAACGCATTTGACTAACAGGTCGAACAACAGATGTTCTTAAACCCTGCTGACTGCCATTGGCGATTGCCAAATAAACGGATCACAAGATGTTACAAAATAGATCTTTAAAAATTTATAAATTTAATACCAAACTGAAAACAATAAACTTGCGGAAAAGATGGTATACCGCAAACAAAAGGTGCAAAAATTAGTACACCATATCCGGATTTCGACAATTAATGTCTCTTCAGTGATGTTAGGAATCGAAACGGTATTTGGAAGGCCATATAATTTACCTCATTTTAGGATAGACTCTTGAATTTTGAAAGAGTCAAAATAGGATGAACGGATCATATAAACCAGAAGGCAAATATAATACAAGCCCAAACGAAAAAATATAAACAAGTCTAAATTGAAAACAACGTTCAAACCTATGATTGCGTTGGATAAAAACCGCAATTTCAATACGTGTGCATGCAAAACAAATTTCTTGATAGAGGGGTCTAAATACAGCACAAACAACATTTTCCAAAAGACCAAAAAAGTGAAAAAGTATATTTTAACAAAACGCATTTGACTAACAGGTCGAACAACAGATGTTCTTAAACCCTGCTGACTGCCATTGGCGATTGCCAAATAAACGGATCACAAGATGTTACAAAATAGATCTTTAAAAATTTATAAATTTAATACCAAACAGAAAACAATAAACTTGCGGAAAAGATGGTATACCGCAAACAAAAGGTGCAAAAATTAGTACACCATATCCGGATTTCGACAATTAATGTCTCTTCAGTGATGTTAGGAATCGAAACGGTATTTGGAAGGCCATATAATTTACCTCATTTTAGGATAGACTTATATATATATACAACTCGTCTAAACATCAGCCCAACAATGTTAGATCTGTAAATTTGCTTTATATATATATATTTGATCAAGTATATGAAAGTATGAGATGGAAACATAGTATTTCCTTGGAGCCTTAAACTACTAAAAATTTTGCTTTTAAAATATCCATATGTTTAAATTACAGGCTCCATTTTCTGAAGAATTTATATTTAGAGCCTGTATGCTGCCATTACTGGTTCCCTGTTTTGGTCAAGGTTTATCTGTGTTCCTCTGTCCACTGTTCTTTGGAGTTGGTAGGTATACTTTAGATTTATTCCATACTAAATTTATTTGGAATACAAATCTATTTATTGTCGTCGGTAACTACAGATACTGATTTGTTAAGATTGATAAGAGTACCAATTTTATTTTACAATTAAGATCAAGGTGTAAGTATTCAGAGTTTAATTTGGTATCACAATGACAGAATTGAAAACTAGTTTAGTATTTAGCAATCAGAAACAACAAGTTCGAGAAAGACAGACAAAATTTTGGCTTAGAAAAGAAGACAAGTCAACAGTTCACAAAACACTACATATAAACTCAAGTACTCTGGAGGGTATTTAAAGCAATTCCTGCTCCAATAGAGGTACATGTTATGGTGCTAATTTCTGGAAGCGTTTTATTGGTCCATTGCAGTTAACTCCCACTTAAAGGATTGAAATGCAAAAATTAAAAAACTTACACAAGCCATGAAATATTATTAATGAATGAAAACACATTTGAAAATACCCTTGAAAAAGCTCATTATTATTATTGTTGAAGATAATTCTTGTTTCAGAACATGTTTATCAGATGATTATAATTGCAGCACATATTCGTCACATGATTATAATTTCAGCATGTTCATCACATGATTATAATTTCAGCACATGTTCATCACATGATAGAAAAAGTGACAACAGGTGGATTAGATGTTAAAACAGCATGTAAACAGTCATGTAAGTATAATTATATATCTCTTTTCAATGAACCATTTATGGACAACAAACATTCCTTACAGCTGAAAGGACGTGCTGGATCAGCTCCTAATTATCTGCAAACTACAACATGTTACGCTGACCACATGGTTTAACAACACACTACTCCATGTCTACAGCAATCTAACTCAACGCCGTACAGTACAACAAAAAATGGTCGGCTTAAGCTTGCACTCCAAAATCCATTGTGGATGGGGGAGTGTTATGTCCCACAGATGTCTGAGGGCCCTGTATCCCTGGTGTTGGGTAATGGACCAGTTTTCCACCGTGGTAGTACCCAACCTAAGCCTAGTTATATGTGATATTGAGCTACCACACTGATCCTGAACAGGCTTCCTGTAGACATTTATTACTGTGTCTATGACTCATTCACAAGTAAAACATCAATGTGGTTAGCCGACTGCCCAGCTGATCAACCTGGCCCTGGAAACAGCCGTTTTGAAGGCAGTATACTTCAAACTTCAAATCCACGCTAAACCAAAATGACCGCCTTCTTCTAACTTAATGACAACAACATTCTAATGCTCACCAAACTTCTTCAGGCACCCAGCTGACCGTGCGAGGGCTTAACAGCTAGTCAAGGTCGTTAAAAACCACTTTAGTAGTAGTTTTTATGGACAACTTATCAGAGTAATATATAAAAAATATGTATTACAAATATTTATTAGCAAATATTATTATATTAATAACTTTTTTAACCGTTGTTAAAATCATGTCTGTTTCAAATGATAAGTTAGTATTAAAGTGTGAAAAAATAAGCCATGCCTATTGAAATAACAGCATTCAAAGTTTACATAATTTGGAATAGGTGAAGTATTGAAAATGGTGATTTTCTGCAATAATTTAAAATTGTATTTTTCAGTATTCCAGTTAACATACACAACACTATTTGGTATCTATTCAGCATTCTTATTCCTACGAACAGGTAAAGTGTATATTGATTCTTGTATTTTTGCATATTTTCAATTGTGTCATGTCAGCGATATTATATATCAGAATTTTTAATGTTATTAAATTTGTAATTAGAGAAGTAATTTTTGTGTAATATTATATATCCATACCTCCTTCTATGCAAACAAAAATGATATGAACAGATTTTACATACTTGCAATGAACTTCGCTTCCCTGTTTTGGAAATTTTTCTAGCTGCTTATGTGGCAACCTTCATATTTCCTATGTAAGAGGTCAACACTCATTTTATATGTAGGAAATTATTGTACTTTTTACATGGATATTGAACAATTTGACAACAAGTGCTAAACATTGATAACTAAACTAATATGCCAAACATACTTTTTTGATCACTGAAGCAAGTGCTTTTATAACACAGTCGGTAGAAAATATCATCTTTACGCCTATGTTTAAAAAATTTAAGTTATTAAATGTTACCCAAGACAAGTGCTTTTATAACACAGTTGGTAGAAAATATCATCTTTACGCCTATAATTTTAAGTTAGTAAATGTTGCCCAGTAGGACTCTTTAGTTTATAATTTGTGAATACAGCATAGTGGTTCTTTACATTTTCTTAATTTCAGTTTAAATGAATATGCCATATTCTCATGATTCAAACAACTTTCATTTGTTTTTATTAACAATCTTTGTTAGATTATATCATGGAAATTGAAGCAAACTACAGTTTGCATGCTTGAAGGGTAGAGAACTATATTGATTCATTTGATCTGGATGAAAGAAAAGCAATACACAAAAAAACAGGTCTCCTCGTTTAGTTTTAAAGGAGTTGTGCTAAGTTGAAACTTTGAGAGTTATAAGGATATTGATATTCCATGTTTTTAATATTTTGCTCTCAGGCCACTTAATATTACTTGCCTACTTTTTAATATTTGTTGCTTTTATATAAAATATTTATTTGATTTTTTCAGGTCACTTGATAGCACCTGTGATAGCCCATGCTTTTTGTAATCACATGGGATTTCCATCGTTTGGTGAAGTGATGGGACATCCACAGCCAGTTAAACACAAACTTATCGCTAGCTTTATTCTGGGACTATTCATGTGGATAGTACTGTTCTATCCAGTTACTACTCCTTTTCTGTATTCTAATTATATTTATGATTCATTGTAGTGAACTGTATTCTGTAATAAACCTTGAGGGGTCATGATTGAAGTCAGATATCAGTGCTTTAGTTAGAATTTAAGGACATCAGTTAAGATGAAGGGCATGTAAGCTTGATTGCTTGTCCCAGAAGGGAAACCAGATCATTTGTATAGATACAAAAAGTAATGAAAAATAATGAATAAAGTAATGTTTTTTTTGCTGGATTGATGGTATTTTGAGCCCCAGTAGTAAAATATTTTTTTAACACTGACCAGAAAAGTGTCTATTTTACTTCTAGAAATAAAATGTTAAGAGGAGAGGGGAGCAGATAAAGGGCAGAGGGTTGCACATAAAGGGCATAGGGGGCACATTAAGGGCAGAGTGGAGCTGCACCTCTCTGTTATGGCCTAGCTAGGACACTGGATATTGTGTTGGTGATTGCAGAATGTTTACTCGAGTTAAACCTTCCCTGTTAGAAAAGGAAAATTAGAAATACAAAACTGTGAAGCAAAAAATATTTATAAATCAATGTTGAATATGTTTTTCTTATAATATTGTACCAAATATTTCTAGAATTCAACAATAATACCAGTCATTTCTTCTAACAATACCTAAATGATAAAAAAATTGTTGCGCACTGAAAGGATATTTCCATAGTTACATTTTGATTCAATATATGGTAGGGTTTTAAGAGGTTCATTGCAACTTTTTATTATTCAAACAATAAGAAAAAGGTGGCAGAATAAGGGAAACGAAGCATTTTTAAGATCTGCAAAGTGTTTTTCGCTGTGTGTGGTCATGATTGAAAATCACATATCTAACGTAATTTTAATAGTTTCCTTTATTAAAAAAATTCAAATGAGACCAAAATTTTCGGAAAAAAACATAAAAAGGAAAACAGGAATCACCAATTAGATTGGACCACACATTTATTTCTTATTGTTTTTTAGATGCTTGAAAAAGTTGGTACTTAATTTTAAAAGGGATAGTGCAAAAATATTGAAGAAATTAATCAATGCAATATAATATATTTCTGGGGATAATTTTTTTCATTATGATTGCAGTAACCTTGTATTTTGTGTTAAAGTATTATGCTTAAAAGTTGAGTTAATATGCAATTTACTGTAAATTTGTGTTGTGGTAATATTTTGTTTGAATTGTGTTATGTTCTAGCGTATGATTATGGGTAGATTTCGTTTCTATATTTTATAGATTTTTAACATATGTTGCATTGTGTGTTAGTTTAATAATTATGAAACAAATTATTTAATTTATGGAGTTGTTATTTATGTTAATAAGAAATTAAAACTCTGTTTTCAAACATTACAATGCTGTAGTCAAAAGTTATGCATAAAATATACTTTAAAACATTTGAACACTTGTTATCAAGGCGTGTTTCAACATCTCAATTTGGTGGTTCCAAAAGTTATTTTAGCATAGTTAAAATGATTGAGGGTAGTAAAGAGGGAATATTAAATAAAAAATGATTTTACTATGATCATAAAATAATTTTGGCTATTTACAAGAAACAACAAAGATTTAGATTGAAAACATGTAAAGGGAAAAATCTCACAATCATGCTACATGAATAAGCCTTAACCACCCTTCTAATTGGTGCAATTTTCGCTGTTTCAGAATCTAATGCATTCTGGGTAATATTTTCAAAAGTGTACACCGAAACATCATAATAAAATAACCCATAGTCCTGTAGATTCTGAATCTAACAATTGTCTATTTTTAGATAGAGATGTAAGGATATAATTAAAACACAACTTGCACATGTTTCATGCAATGTTTGAATGGTAAAAACATACTCTAACCACTTAATATATTTATTTCTTGATAGTACCATGATGTTTTCTAATGAATCAAAATTGGTTTTTCAACATTATAAAGGTAGTGTGAGGTCACAATAAAATAGTGTCTGGTTTGTGTTTTAGAAATCAGTATATGTTCATAATTTATTGAGTCTTATCAGTAAATTTTGAAAATCTTTACAGCTTTAGGCAGCTTGTCAGGTGTGGCAAATTAGTCATCTTACACATTCAATACTATGAAGAGTAATATGTGTAAATCTTTTGAAATGCTGAAAAATCAAATGCTTTCCATGACAATAAGTTATGGGGTATTGAACTCAGAAAATGCAAAATGCATGTAAGGGCTGTTCCATTTGAACACACAAGTGACTCAGGGAAGGCACTTTGAAATCTCAAATATGGACGGAGGTCAAGTACAGTGAAAATGTAAGTGAAATTCTAAATTTAACTCTATAGGAGGTTACTCCATTTTGAAAATGCCCTCTCTGAGTACCATGTATGTTTAAATGGAACAGTCCTAATCATATTTAAACCAATTATAGATGTTAATTGATTTTTTTTTTACTTAGATATTGATCATGTAGATTTATATATTTGAGGTGAAATTCATATAATTTAATGTGATATTGATATTTGTGTCTGAAATGTAATTTATGTTAAATGATAGAACAATTTCAAGAAACGTACATTGCATATACATTCATATAAAAATAAGGAGATGAGGTATTTTTACATTTTATCAGAGTAAATCATGTAAATGTTCATATAAAGATGTTGATGTTGAATTGTAAAAAAACCCACATGTTTCAAAACCCAAAATATGCCATATGAATTAAATTGGTTCTAAAGAATGATTAACTAGGTAGGAATGGGAGATTTCATTGTGTTCATAGGTTACAATATTATTGTCATATATAATACTTTGGGATCTTTTATTTTCTTTGGTGCCAATTTTGGTGGATTGCAGAAAACTTGCAATTTTGTGAATTTAATTGCATGGATTTGCCTAAGTCTGCATACAACCTTATAGAAAATTTGTCATTCGATGAACATTTAAATTTGTGGTTCCACACGAATTGGTATCCTGTGAATAATAATGAATCCACAGTATTTATTCCTTATTCCTAAAACATGGTAAGGAATAGAAAAGTTGAAAAAATATACATTAGTAGTATTAAGAGAGATCAAAAATGATATCAGCATTAAGGAAATTACACAGTATTTAAAAATACCATTGAAACCTCATTACCTGTTTAAAGGCTGGCATAGCTATATTGTATTTTTTACTTTTCACTTAAATGGAAATCTTCATTTTGGGGGAAAGATTAAATGATTTTCTATATATATAGATGTTGTATGCAAAGAATTTAGTTTACAGTTCATATGGTGTTTTGATTTACATCTCATTTGTATTTAATTTTTTAAAAAATTAAATGTTAGCTGTTTTAAATTTTTTTTTAAATGTTAGCTGTATTGATTATGGAAAGTGGTTGGGAAAGGTGGTTATACTTTTTATTAAAGTCTTATTATTCTTTCATATTTCCAAATCATTTCTAACGAAAGAAATTGTTGAGTATTTCTTCCAACTGTACTGACATTCCTCTGTTCTATTATTATTATGAAAAGATTCCTCCCATTTCAGTATATATATCCCCTTTTATGATCTTATTGACTTTATTCATTTTTCAAATGTAGTTTCTCAATAATGACAAAAATTGGAGAAAAATATATAAAAGGTGAGGAATTTATGGCCTTATTTAGCCCAGGATACAGTGTAATTTTAATATTATGCATGATTAATTAGCTTTGAAGAACCATTCTTTTCAGATGCATTCTGGATAATATTTTGAAATATTACACTGAAGGATTATAATATAAATATAAAAATATTTTAATTGTTGAAAAATACAGAATTTTTAAAAATTTTGTCTGTTTTACTCTAATGTTAAGTATTGAAATTGCCTCTGTAAACAAGCAACAACTCTATATTTAAAGTTTGGAAAAAAAAGAATGCCAAATAAAGTCTTTAATGCGACTTTTATTTTCATCATATTTTCTGTTGTCTTTTTCTGCCAGTAATCAACAAGATGTCTTCGTAATGCTTTTCATTTTTCATGTGTTTTTCGTCCAAATGAAAATTGTTTATAAGTCACTTGATTATGTAGAACCACTTTTGCTTCTTTTTAATATGATAAATTATTTAATGTATCGGAGAGATCTAGGCAGATTGTCAGCACTTCAGTTTACATGAGCCGACCTCTTCTGCCAGATGGGTAAGAGCCAAGATGAAGAGGGGGCACCTGATATGTCAGTAGAGTGTCAATTGATACATTGGAAATATAATAATACTTCATCGGTTGCATGGTATCCAAAATGTTGTATTTTGTTAGCCAATCACAACTTTTTGATGTATGTTTTCAAAAATATTACCCAGGATGCACTAGTTCATTTGTTCTGAAGATACTGTAGTGTAATTTATGAAAGGAAAATGGTGTTCAGTATCAATAACCAATAAATTTACCTAATTTAGTAACATCAATGTTGTGAAATTAAAAATACAAAATGTACTTCCTTGTAGCCAAACTTCATGCTTCAAATTTGTTGTTCATCATATTCTATCTTGTACATCATTTGAATGGCTGTCTCCGTCCTTTTGTCATATTATGTCAGCAATCCTTCATGTTAAAATGTTACAGTAGTTGTAAAAGCTTAACAAATGTTCCGTAGAGTAAAAGTTAAACATAATGTATAATTCCAGCTACATGTTCATTTAATGGATGGCTTGTTTTTAATGTATTTTTTATTGCATAACGATAGATAACAGCGTATAAGATGAAACAGGAATGAAATTTAAATATCACCATCTTAAAAGGAAACAGTTGAAAGGAAATAATTCCAGATGGCAGTGTTGTCATGTGTATCAGTTAATGAGATGCCAGAAGTCTATATCTGTAGATAGTCCATTGTTTACAGGGTCTAGATTTTGGGTTTATTGTTTAGTTGGATTGCTGCCTTTTTTTTTCTGACAGATTCATTTATCAGTTGATATTGTGATGAACTAAGTGCTTTTCATGTTTCTTTTTAAAATCATATCATGTATATAACTCTCTATGCATAATGTACTTTTTACTGTAACCATGCTGTGTTTGTTGTTGAATGATATGGACTTACAAATGTATATTGTTATAGTCAATGACTGTTTAAAGGCTAATATTTTTGGCAACAGTATCTTTAATAGGTCTTACATTTTTCTTTCTTGGCAACAATTTTTTAGGTCTAACATTGATCTTATCTTTTTTCTGTCATGAATAAGTAAAAATTCACTCGTATTGACTTTTTCTGCTGTCTTATTCCAAGTCCAAAATAAAAAAAAATATGCATAAATATTGTTTCATGTGGAGAATTCATTTATGTTGATGGTTTATATCAGTATTTGTAAACTAATGGGGGGGGGGGGGGGGGGAGAATTTTCATGGATACCTGATTTCATGGTTTCATACTAATGAAAATTGTATTTTGTTGAACATTAAATCTGTGGTTTACCTTTAACCATGGAATCCACAAAAATGAGATTCCCACAGATAATAATGAATTCAGGGTCATTTTAATTATTTCAGTTTAAAGGGAATAACTATACTTTGTCTTGAATGTAAATTATATTTCTACTTTTCATGACACAAAACACACATGAAGCCTCCGTTTTTACTAATCTCAACCGGAGAAAATATTTGGTTATTTTACATATATTCACAACTCTTGACAATGTCTTCTCTATACTTTGTAAGTTGTTTTAGTTTTTGTTTGTATGACTATTTTATATTTAACCTATTATGAAATGTTAAATTAAAATTGATGTGAAAAACTGTTTAAATTCTGTTCACCATGTTCTTGGGTGCCTTGAAATTTGTGGGGGCATGCTGTTTCCTTTAGGCACTGTATCATTGGCATTCACAATTAAGTTTCCATGTTAAAGGTCAAAACAGACCAAACCTCTCTGTGTTAACATTTTATTGTAGTATTAGTATTAGTGTTAACATTAACAGGATCAATTTGACTGCACCAGGTGCCTATTTCAACAATTAATGTCTGAGTTTTGATTTATATACTTTTGGTATCTTCTGCCTCTTTTTTATGCCCCACCTACAATAGTAGAGGGGTATTATGTTTTTCTGTCTGTGCGTGTGTCTGTTCGTTCGTTTGTCTGTCCCTCTGTCCCACTTCAGGTTAAAGTTTTTGGTCATGGTAGTTTTTGATGAAGTTGAAGTCCAATCAACTTGAAACTTAGTACACATGTTCCCTATGATATGATCTTTCTAATTTTAATGCCAAATTAGAGTTTTAACCCCAATTTCAGGGTCCACCAAACATAGAAAATGATAGTGCGAGTTGGGCATTCGTGTAATAAGGGCACATTCTTGTATCATCAGTGATGTCCAAGGACAAAATAATTCCAAGAAGTAATAATAAAAATTTTGAGCTGTTCAAACCAAAAAAAATAAATAAAAGAAGAATGTGTCCGAGGACATGAATACCCAAGAATACTCAAGCTTTGCAACGAAAGTAGGATGGACGGAAAGACAGACAGGAGGACAGCAAGACAGAAAGACAGAAGGTCAAGGGTAACACTAATGGCCCGTCGCCTACATAGGGGGTATAAAAATACAGAAAGTATAGACAAATCATTACAGCAGATTTTCAAAAAACAATATCTATACCGGTACTTACATTTCATTACCGAAGTAATGTGTGTTTGAAATACTTATCGCTTGAAATCTGATATATTTCAAATATCAGGTAGATTTCCAGGAGCCTGCACCAGGTCACTTAGTTTTTGTACAAAGTCTTATTTCTGTTTCTGCACTTCCATCTTTATTTGTCCTTGCACATAAAAAAATAGTAGTGCAAATGCTGAAATGTCTCTCCTGTTTTACTTTAATATGGACTAACTTTTGTTGAAAGTGTCTAATATGAAGGTTTAACTTCAAGTATCACATAAACTTAACATTATCAATGATCCATGAAAAGTGAGTCACTGTCATATGAACCATGCCTGATATACCTGTACAAGTTACAAGCATTCCATACACCACATAGTGATCCCATCGGTTATAGTAATTTAACATTGACCAATGAACTATGAAAATGAGGTTTGAACCCAGCCAGACAGAAATCACGAATTCACCAACATTCCAACTGACTTCATTTTCAGAAAACGATATCTGTAACAAACATACACTATTAGCTACTTCTTTACAAGCAGAACCAAATATAATGAAAGTCCCAACTATGTACTGGCTTCCGAAGCTACACAAATCACCTTACAAATATAGATTTATTTCGTCTTCAAGTCATTGTTCCACTACTAAATTGTCTATTCTACTTACTAGTACACTTGGTACAATCAAAAACCTGATAATAAATTGTTCAAATAAGGCCTTTGAAAATAGTGGAATTAACTACTTTTGGAGTGTCAAAAACTCGTTGGAAGTACTTGATAAATTGCATGCATATATTGGTGATTTTGAATCTGTTCAAAGTTTTGATTTTTCTACCCTATATACCACTTTGCCTCATATTCTTATTAAGAAAAAATTCACACACCTAATTAAATGGGCATTTAAAAAGTCGGAATGCGAATACATATGTTCAAACTCTTTTAGGTCATTTTTTAGTAGCAACAAACAAAAGAGCTATGTCAATTGGACATGCTTTGATACTATATCTGCCCTTGAATTTTTACTTGATAACATTTTTGTTCGCTTTGGAGATTCTGTATATCGTCAAGTTATCGGAATTCCAATGGGGACTAACTGTGCACCACTTATTGCGGACCTGTTTTTGTATTGTTATGAGTTACAATTTATGACTAAAATCAGCAAAGACCCATCGAAACAACATCTGATACAAAAATTTAACAATACTTTTAGATATTTGAATGATATATTGGCTCTCAATAATGACGACTTCAGGATGTATACTAAAGAAATTTATCCTGTTGAACTTACTTTAAATAAAGCTAATACTAACAATGACCACTGTCCTCACCTCGATCTTGATATCTATATCATTAACGGGAAGCTTAATACAAAAATTTATAATAGAGATGATTTTTCATTTCCTATCGTTAATTATCCATTTTTAGATGGTGACGTTCCCTTGTCACCATCTTATGGTGTTTATATATCTCAACTTGTACGATTCGCTCGTGTATGTAACAACGTATTAGATTTTAGCGAGAGACATTTATGTATTACTGAAAAAATTATTACACCAGTGTTTTCGATATCATAAACTAGTCAAAACATTTACTAAATTTTATCATCGGTATAAGGACATCATTCGTAAATATAACTCAACATGCAGACATCTTATACGTTCAAGTATTTCACATTCAATCTTTTATGGTAATATTCTTTACAAAGCACAAAAATGTCAGTATTCACCTCAAAAGCTAACAAAATCTTTAAACAGACTTATTAAGAAGGGATATAGTTACGATACTGTTGTCAGGTAATTAATATTGATTCACTTATAGGGTCTTTGCATCAGAATTAAACATATTTATTCTAAAACCAGTTGTAGGCATGACACGGGTTATGTTCTTCTCGTATATTTTATGATGGTATAATACTAAACCCCTAACAGGAGGTATTGTGCCTGATATTCATATGATGAAGACATAATCTTTCAATCAGTTTAATTGAAGTCTGGAGCTGGCATGTCAGTAACTGCTAGTAGTCTGTTGTTATTGATGTATTATTGTCATTTTGTTTATTTTCTTTTGTTTCCTTTTCTGACATTGGACTCAGACTTCTCTTAAACTGAGTTTTACTGTGCGTACTGTTGTACATTTGTTTTTTCTACATTGGCTAGAGGTATAGGGGGAGGGTTGAGATCTCAAAAAACATGTATAACCCCGCCACATTTTTGCGCCTGTCCCAAGTCAGGAGCCTCTGGCCTTTGTTAGTCTTGTATCATTTTTAATTTTAGTTTCTTGTGTATAATTTGGGGTTTAGTATGACGTCCATTATCACTGAACTAGTATACATATTTGTTTAGGGGCCAGCTGAAGGACGCCTCCGGGTGCGGTAGTTTCTCGCTGCACTGAAGACCCATTGGTGGCCTTCGGCTGTTGTCTGCTCTATGGTCAGACACAATCCCTCCTGTTAGGGGTTTAGTATTATACCGTCATAAAATATATGAGAAAAGCAATTACTCCCAAACTCAATTCCAGCTTTCCCTTTGTGATATGGAACCTTGTAGTACAATTTCAGAAAGATCCATAGACTTACACACAAGTTATTGTCATGAAACTAGAAAAATGCTTGTTTTTTTGCCCCTTTTTTTGCCCCTAATTCCTAAAATTCTAAGGCAATTACCCCCAAAATCAATCCAAGCATTCCCTTTGTGATATGGAACCTTGTGGTACAATGTCAGAGAGATCCATACACCAATACACAAGTTATGTCTTGAAGTTACAAAAATGCTTATTTTTGGCCCCTAATTCCTTAACTGTTGGTACCATAACCCCCAAAATCAATCCCAACCTTCCTATTGTGGTATTGAACCTTATGGTTAAATTTCATAGAGATCCATTTACTTAAACTAAAGTTAGAGTGCGAAAACCAATGTGTCTTCGGACGACGACGACGACAACGTCATACCAATATACGACCTCAAAATTGTTTTGCGGTCGTATAAAAATCAAAGGAGATGAGATATCCATCCATGACACAAAATCAGTATATGCACACCAAAAGACACAATAAAATAGCAAAGGAACAGCGTTTAATTGCTGTTCTTCATCTCAGTCACAGTGAAGCCTTCAACACAAAGCAAAAATAAAAAAACCTCACATCAATGCAGGTTAAAGATGGCCCTTAGCAAAAGCTTGAGTGGAATAATTGGCCTTTATTGGCTTATAGCAACTCGGATACAGTTGACCATGAAAACTTATCAACCCTGCCTGACAGACATGTAACCCTTGCAAGGAACCCATTTACCAAATATAGTTATCCTACAACTCATAATAAGTGAGAAATTCACATGACAAAAAAAACTATAATTTTTTCAAGCAGTCCCTGAACCATGAAAATAAGGTCAAGGACAATGGACATATGACAGATGGAAACTTAATAACATAAGGTATATGCATACAAGAAATGAAGCATCCATGTCTTCTACCTTCTGAAATATAAAGATTTATACAAGTAGTTTACAATGTCCCTCTGCCGGATTGTAATCACTGTTTTGCATTCTGAGACTTTCGTCGCAGGAGAGAGGAAAACCGTTTCATATGACTTTCTGATCACCATATATTACAGTGTATGCTGATTAGCTTGAAATATTTTTATCACCACAACAATTATAAATGCTGTTACAGTGAGGCCTGTCTAGTTTTAAATATAGGTTAATTCTGTAAGTACTCCAGCACCCTATACGAAATTGAATCTTAACTTATATATTTCTATACATATAAGGAGACGGGGATCCCTACTGACATTTTTAGTATAAGTGTGGGGTAATGATGGCTTGCTCACTCTGGTGTTTAAATTAGAAATTAAGACATTTGTCTTTCATACTTCACGAGGGACATATTCTAGAGACAAAAGTTGCAATATTAATGACAATCTTGTATATAAATCTTTCTGATATAAAAGTAAAATAACAAAAATACTGAACTCCAAGGAAAATTCAAAATGGAAAGTCCCTAATCAAATGGCAAAATCAAAATTTCAAACATGTCGAACGAATGGAAAACAACGGTCATATTCCTGACTTGGTACAGGCATTTCCTTGTGGTGGATTAAACCTGGTTTTATAGCTAGCTAAACCTCTCACTTGTATGACAGTTGCATAAAATTCCATTATAATTTATATTGACAACAATTTGTGAACCAAAAAAACAGACATAATAGGGAAAAATGTCAAAATAAAACACATTAACTAATTAGAATTTTTTATTTCCATGTTATTTAACATTTACACACATTAGTTGTTCTTCAGGATTTCACATACAAACAGTGACATACATACTCTATAAAAATACAAAAAAATGATGAACGTACGAAAACAAAACATAGAAATAAAATGCAGATGTTTGTCACCTAGCAACAGAACCATAGCTCATATGGTCCTTAAAATATTTTTTGACAATTTGTGGATCGCGAAATTGTCAAAAAATATCACAAGGACCATAAGAGCTATGATTTTGCAGCTATTTGTCACCAAAACAAAACATTCATTTAATATTTTTAAGAGTTTGGAACTAAATAATTCTGTTACCATTTGTGACAAAATTTTCACTCCATAATATTTTAAATCAATATTAATACTTTTGCTTAGAAATATTTATTGTTATACACAATAATGCATGACTGAATTGTTTTTGCTTTCAAGTTTATATTTCTGCAATGCGTAAATAATGAATTTAAATAAAAATTGAGCCAAAAATCATGTTCGTTTTTGAGCCAAAAGAAAAATGCATACACATCTTGATATTTATTTGAATCATAAATTATAGATAAAAACAAAAATTGCCAAAAACACTGATGAATGCCAACTACTGTAGTAAAAATGATACCTAACCAAAAATGTTGAAAAAATTTAACAATCAACAGTCTAAATTCACAAAAAATAACCCCTTCAATGAAAAAAAAAAATAAAACTACAACAAAATGGCAAGCTGTAATAATGCATGCTGTTATATTGTAATTTAACATATACAATATATTGTCTTTGTCCTATAAATATGATATTTTAAATAATAAGTAAGTTATAGATAAATATTTTCTGTGGGTCCTCTTTCATCTTGCCTGGGTTGCCAAAATGTCGATTTATATCAAATACTATTTATAAATTTTAAGTGTTATTTAAATTCTAAGCAAATACAATAGATTTTATCAACAATTACAATTTAAACCTCCTTCAACAATAATGACATTTGTGCAATCCAGTCCTGAGTTTTGTATGCATGTATATATAAACTGGTGATTTGAATTTTGATTCTGATTCAAATAGGTTTAAATGAGTAATGACAGCCATTCGGACAACATGGCGGATGTAAATAGAAATTGAGAGTTTAATTTTAAACTGAAATCATAAGACTATCTATTACAAAATGGGGACTTAACAACATAGTTTACTGATGCCTAACATCCTATTCTTTAAGCTGTCAAGTTAAGATCATTATTCCACACGATTTTTAACATGATGAGCCTGAATGCCCCAATCCAATTCTAAGGTTATAAAGCTGCCATTCAACCATTGTAGGAAAGAAGTTCAAGATGCAAATAGAATAAATATGGTATGCTTGCAGGGAATGTCAGACTCGCTCCTAGGACACAATACACGTATAAATATAATAGATCTATATATTAATTAGTGAATAATGGATGGATTATCACAGCAGATCTTAGGAATGTATCAGATCACAACACAATACAAATCTACAAATACTGAATAAGGACGAAAACATTTCACAGAAATTATTGTAGATTTTTTATTAATGGGAATAATGTATCGCAATAATAAGAACTCGCATCTGATACACATATCTGTATGCAGCATTTCCTAAAATTGCAATAATTAAATCGCATTTTTGTTTATTTTTCAAAAAATGGCAATAATAAATGTACACAATAATTCCTGAATTTACAGTATCAGATCTTGCACACATTGGTTAAGGGTTTTCAAATAAAAACATAGAAACATGTTAACTAGGCAAAGCATACACATAAACATCATGTTAGACAACTCTTGGGGGACTTAAGTTAACCAGATACATGTGTACACACAAATGTTGTGTCAAATGACACTCGTAGGATCACATCATACAACATAAACATCCGAATAAATACAGGAATTAAAATCTTCCATAGCTTTGAACACACTGAAATCAATTTTATTTCAAATAATGCTGTTTCATTTTTAGAAGCACTTCATCTTGAAATATTTACAAACTGAAGTGTATAAGGGTACTTTTAAGTAAATTTTGTGTTTAATTAAAAGTTTGATACACAGGAGTACTTCACAAACTTCTTATTATGGAACTTCTTCCCATATGACAATAGTTATCCCCAAATAGACTGAACAACATGAAAATAATCATTTTGTAATCTTCAAGAATCATAATTAACAAAACAACATCCAAAGTAATAATTTTTATCCATGAAACCAAAATAATTGTCTGGAGTGCACAGACATTTTAGTAAAAGTTTATGTTTCCGGTATTGGCAAAATAAACTGGATATTTGTTTTTTATTTATTTTTTCTAGTAACTTTCAATTTAAGTTTTACATGTATATTCCTTGTACATGTATTACGAAAGTAAGCATGGATTTCAAAGTCTTGACCTGACAAATAATTACCTTTCTGGTAAATAACATATAGAATTAAAAACTTTTATTTCTGTGATTTTGTTTAATAAATATGTAATTAAAAATGTGCATTTCATGTTATTTCAAGAAGAAATTGACATTTATATAATTTGGCCAACTAAAATAACTAAATCATAAAAATCACTAATAGCTAAAAGACATTTTTTTTTATATGTAGTATAACAAGGAAGCCAAAATCAACAGAGGAATCACTATATGTATTTGATAAAGATCTGACATACAGATAGATAAAAAAAAATCCATCTCCTCAAAGTTTTTGTAATTTTTCAGAAAAATCTACTTAAAAGCTTGGTACAATGAGAACCAGTTCCATGATAACTTACATGGCAATGAATAATGAAACCATGCACAATAAAGAACAAAGAGGTAGTTCACATCTTAAAAGGCATGTATCTATCACCATGACGACTAAAAAACCTAAAAATCAACAACGACATAGGAGGAATTTCAATCTGATAAGAGAAAATACTGAAATTTGATTGTACAAAGGAAATATTTTATATGTCAATTTCATAACATAACCTCAACAAGATATTAAATTGTTGTCCGACATGATCTGTGTGCACAGACTAGCAATCTTTCCACCCACCTTGAAAAATAAAATTTAGAACAACAGGCATAACAAAGAAACTCATAAAGATATTATATTAACCAAGGAATACAAATTTAAAAAAATAAAAAAAAAATAACATTTTTACACTTGAATTTAGGAGAGTTTGTTTCCTTTTACACATTCGTGAATACCTCTTCCTCAAAACTTCCCTGTAAATACATAATTCTAAGACAAAAAGCATACATACATGTGTACAAATAAAATTCCACTTTCATGAATCTTGTAGTCCTGAATTTAGAGATACCAAAATAACAAATTTGTTTATAAAAGAATAATAATTCACTCTCTTGAGTTGGACTAGGCACTAGAGGAAAAATATAGTCTCAGTCAATTTTGTGCATTTCAACAGAGTAACCTTTGGACTACAAGTATCACGAAAGAGCACAAATAAATGTTTTCTCTTTTCACCAAGTTTGAATATGTCATTTTTGAAAAGAATATAGGTAATATCCTTCTTCAAAAACCAAAATGAAAATAACAATACTCCATAGGTTGAAATTCATTGCTTATGACCAACCAATCTTTACATTTTGATGTATGCTCTTGAAATCACTAGCCGTAATGCATCAGATTCTAAAAGAATAAATTATAAGAGTTATCTCCCATTATGATAGGTTTTTACAGCTATTTTAGGCACATTTTATTATCTTTCAAAATCTTTTTTATCCTCTGGAACCAAAACTCAACTGTGCTTTATTTTACTATTTTACTAATTTTTTTTATCTACATTTGCCTTTAATATTTTATTTCCCAAAAATCTAAAATACCATGTGATTTTACTTATTCAAAATCAACAACCCTTCAACAATGGGAGACAACTCCCACCTTGGAGAAAAAAGAGTTTCACACAAGAGTAAAGTAAAATGTAGTAAATGAGGAGACTGCTGCCAGATCTTTGTTCTTGTTTCTTAAATTATAACTTAAATGTAGAAAATGATGAGGAGACTGCTGCCAGGTCTTTATTCTTGTTTTCGTGAATTATAACTCGTCTTTCCTATCGATATATTCCTTTACAGAATCAATATCTTTGTTGATTTCATCAGGATCATGACTGGGTAGAGCACTGAAAATAAAATCAGAACTCTGTAATTTCTGAACATGGCTAATTCTTTTAAACGTAATCATTAAATTTATTAAAGATTATAACTTGTTCTTTTCTAAATTGGCCCTGGTATCATCCTGAGACTCCCATATCAGCCTGAGGTGCAAGCCGAGGGATTATCTTTAGTGTTAGTGTTCTTTATTTGCGTAACAAGTTCTGCTGTGTTGTTTTGCTCCACTTTGAAAGAGCATCTTCCTTGCCCGACATTTTTTATTTGAATGCTTATGACCTTGTTGAGAGCAGTTCAAAATAACTATTTATTTGGCCTGGGCAGAATTACGACTGTGGAAATTCTACGTACATTAAATACATATGGTTAACCAAATGTTTATATGTGAAAATTAATTTTATATGCATAAGTCCTTTGCTACTTTGAATATCACTTTCACAGTCTAAATAACTAAATAATTCTATGCCTTTTATTGTCAGAGGATATCTCCAATAGGATTACCTTTTCCTTCTGGCTTAGAGGTAAAAATTAAACTCAGTTTTTATGTATCATATTTTCCATCATTTCAACATTTGTATGTTTTGTTGTCAGTTGGATAAGATGTCAGCATGTTAATACAATTTGTCAGTTACTAAGAGGTTTTTTTCTACAGCATTTTGATCATCACCAAATCACCAGATAAACTACTGATTCCCAAATTACCAGTGAAATGAAAATGTTATTTAGAAAATTCCTGACTTTGATTAGCAAATCCATTCTTGCAAAAAGATTGCTAAATCTCAACGTTTTGGGAATAATCTTACCGTCCTCCTTCTTGTAATTGTCTGTGCATTTATTTAGTTTTACTGATATGTATCTACTAAATGATTGACTTATCTCCTCCTTTATCCATGATTGGGACTATCAGTTTACAGACTGGCGGAATTAAAATCATTTTAATGCAGAAAATATGCCGAATTAAAATGTTCACTCATATATACACAGTTAAAACTATAATATGTCTCTGTTCAACATTAAACCAAAGGCTGGTATTTGTAACTTAAAATAGAAACATATTCCTTTCTGCTCACTTCTCCTAGAATTTGAAGGAATTCCAGCCCATACTGGAGGAGGAAACATATTTGAACAGAATTGTTTTGCTTTTGTCATATCGTGGCCTTTTATAGCTTACTATACAGTATGGGTTTTGCTCACTGTCGAAGACTGTACAGTCAATGCAAGATATCAACGCAATCTGGAATGAGTTTCACAAAAAAATCTTACAACTAAAGTTGAACGTAAGTCTTACACAGTATCCTTATGAATAATTTTAGTCGTAAGATTTTTTGTAAAACTCATTCCTGGTATTTGGTTGATAGTTTAATATCACATTGGCAAACAAACCACATCTTCTTACCGTATTTTTATACTAACAGCTTAAATATATCTTCCCTCATCAATTAAGGTATACAAAGAGAAACTAATTTACCATGCTCCCATTTTTAAAAATAAATGAAAAATTAAACTTCATCTACAGTTTTTACCTGTACGGGTTTATGCTATTAAAGAAAATTTCCAATTAAACATGTTTTAAAAACTTCTTTACTAAGGAAACAATCAGAAAAAATCATATGTAAAAATGTGTATTTTAACATACATGTTGTTTACAGAGGTGTTTATCCTTATTTCAGTCAATCAGACTGAAGTATTAACCATTTTCTCAGTTTTTTTCAATAGTAACACTGGTGAGCGCCAAAATGCAAACTTTGTAGGGGGATCTGGGGCATCCCCCCCCCCCTAAACTTTTTTAAAAAATAAGATGCAAAATCGTGCATTCTGAAAGCTTGTAGAGTCATGTTTTTGGATAACAAATATATAAATTCATTAGAATTTTTTTTCTGAAAATCTCTGAAATTCCACAAGTCCTGATCAGCCAGAGCTGCCTGCTTTGTAGCTGACATCTTTTCATAATTTTCAACTACCTTTTGTTACATACTTTGAAAGATTGGTAAAACAGACTATTAATTAAAGATGTTCGTCTATCTCTATCACGTTTTATATGGGGTCTCTTACACCGCTCATTCAAGCACTTTGTTAGAAAAAAAAATAATTCTGAAATGAACCAGAAACCGTACTTCTGGGAATAAAATCTGTTGTCCTTATTTTGCATTTAAAATCCTGGTAAAAATCCATAGTGGTAAACACTACTGAGTTCACCAAAAGTGATTCTTGTCTTACAAATATTTCAAACTTACCTCACAATAGCAGCTGATACTTTATCTAAAATTCCTCCTAAAATAAAAAATAAATCGTTCATTCAGAAATCAGTCTTTGCCATATTTATGATCCAGCGACTCTTTTCACAAAAATCTGAAGAGTAAAAATACTCGTAAGTCATACACATTTCAGTTTAACTTACGATCAATTTTAATCATAAGATTTTTTGTGAAAAGAGTCGAAGGCTGTGAGAATAGATAAAATACAATAATACCAGAAGTATAGAATTCTTTTTGGAAAGTAATACATGTATCATCTATATGTGAACATGTAATAATATATTTAATTATGATTATTTTAATGGTACAGATTTAGTCTAAATCTGTTTTAATTATTTTATTTGATAAAAGATGCTTCTTTTCTTACAGTATGTATATATACCCATGCTGACATGCACAACTGGTGCATCAAAATGGTTATTATAAGTACACATATGGTGATTCAGTTAAAATTCCATAACAATGGTGAGTTTTCAGTGAATGTTGATGACTGAAATTGATTCAATCTGAATTGTTTCTCTATTAACTTAGGAATAACAAGCATTCTGTGAGTATTGCATAGCAATACATAGTCCCCCTACCGGTTACAAATTCATTGTAATGGAAAGAAATTCTAACTTGATCTATAACTTGTCATGGTGTAAACTACATAAAAAAATCAAGTCAAAATCTTCAAGCATGACGAAAAAAACTGTTGAAAACTGATTATTTAAGTGAATTTTCTATGTCCAAAGACCATAACTCTGCACAAAATTATCAGACAGGAACAAAATTCCATCTTGATCTGTAACTTGTCATGATAAAACTATATACTAATCATCCAATCAATATCTACAAGAATTTCAAACAAACCTACCACTAAATTCTTCAAACAATTTACCAAAAAAAAGGAAAAAAATCCAAAATGTAATTTTGTCTTTTAAACATCTTTTAAAAAATGATTTATTTCCCTTTGAACAAAAATCTACTAATTAATAAGTATTTCATCAAAAAGTTAATTCTAGGGAAAGGGCTTTAACTGAACGAAGAGAAAAACTAAAATCGTGAAAATTGATCTTGACCTGTAACCATGGTAACCTGTCATGATAAATCAATATACCAAATATCAAATCAAAATCTTCAAGCACGAAGAAAAAAAGCCTGGAAAACTGATTGCCGGACTGACAGATGGACAGACAGACAGACAAACAAACAGACAGAGTGCAAATCTAAAGTCCCCTTCGACTTCGTCGGTAGGGGACTAATAAACTGAAATTCAATCACCTTCAATGTTAAGTAATTGCCCTGATTCACAGTGAAAAAGCACCATCTAGAGTGACCTGTGGATGCAGACCCACTTACCTGGTTGACATATAGTATCACAGACTGCAGAACACAGGTTACAGTATTTACAGTACTGAAATATAAAAACGATGTATACATTGCAATATTATAAAAAGGATATTGTGTGAGTGTAAATTAGACAAAAGTCTAATAATATTCTAAGAAATAGCCTATTCCTCATATGAACAGCGTTTTTATTGCTGATTTCTCTTAAATTGAGATTTTTATGTCAACAAAAAGGAAAACATGCCTCAGGACGTTTCACAGAAAGAACAAACTTTTTTGCAAACAACTGATTTAGAAAAACCATGAAGAACATAAACATGATAAAAGTTTTCCCACATACCCCCCTAAAATAATCAGTAGAGCAACATATTCTGCCTCTGTATCTTGTGCTTAATTATATTTCCCCATTTTTATTCTTTAAATTAAAATAAATCTAAAATTTGAAAGATTATAGTCAATGCTTTTCTACAAATTCATGAAAATACATGAAATGTGTAAAAATACTTACTTTACACATTTTGCAGTTGGGTTTGGATGCACTTGTTTCACATGGACAATCTTTTTCACACAATTTACAGAACTGAAATAAATATAATTATATATTATGAATTCTTGTTATATTGCCCAATTTCATACCAAATGGTATGAATAAATTTCATAGAATCAGTTTTAGTGGTTATTGAAGTACATTTTTAGAGTGGTAATGGCCGTTGGGTTTCAAGAATGTTTGGAATCAAATGTGTGTCCAAAGTTTAGGCGAGTTGTTTTTCTAGTTTCAATGGACCTCAAATGCTGCTCTTTTTTTATGAAGATTCATAGTTATGACAGTGTTGTTTGATCCTTTGAGTGCTTTATTACATGTGATCCCTTTCGGTCATTTTGTTACTCATGTTTTCTCACAAATTTGTATTCTTGCTACACTGTACTCACGTTAACCCACAAATTTGTATTTTTGTTATTCATCTTTTCCCACAAATTTGTATAACTCACCAAAAAGAATAATGAGGACACCATTTTAAATATTTTCTGTTTGAGTATGTATGAACATGATAAAATGAGTCTAGAGCTTCTTCAACATACGGTTTTATAGCAAACAAAATGAGTTCTCTGGGGCAACTCACCTAAGATCAATCAGGCAGATGTTTGTATCTGTACAAAGATCAGTATTGAGATGACATATTTTTTTAATATTCATTGTTTTTAGGTATAAATTATTGTGTTTAAAACGAGAAAGAAAAAAAAACGCTACTGTACATGAAGATAGTGTTTCTTTGTTTACATTGAAATGACATCATATATAAAATTCCTAACAATAGGACCAACTTATTCTTCTTCTTCTAAGTTCTTCAAGTGGATGTCCACCCTATTTGCAGGGTCATTGCATTGAAAATATATGCGTTTAATTTAAAAAAAAAATTAAAATTTACCTTGTTAATACAGTTAAATGTTAATTAAATAAAACAAAGGTAAAATGGTAAAATGAGAGAGAGAACATGTATTTACACCAACATCGGATAATTCAGTTACATTTTCATGAAAAAATTGAAAAATTATGCCATGTATGCTGGGAATGTGTTTTACAATAAATGTTTATACTAATATGCTGTTAACAGGGTATTGTGAAATATTCTAAAGGTTTCTGACTTCATCATCTTTTACGGACAACACCTGCCTCATATTACAAATTAATAAAAATGTTAAAAATAGTAAAAATAAGAAGTTGTCTCCTCCTTGTTGTAGTGCTTCTATTCAAGGAAAATTCAATTACTTTGCAGTAACTACAGTATCCACAAACAGATCCCTTCGCATATTCTACTTTTTCATCATCCACCTTCACGTCTTCTTTGGGACTACCTGCTATACAAAAAGCTATAAGAGCTAAACAAAAAAGTAGGGAAATGAAAAAATTCTGAGCCATCTTTTGCCGACGGAGAGTTATCTACCTTAGTGCCTACTCACTTCCGGTTAAAAAACAAAAACGAAAGTAGCCTGTTCCGTTGTCCGTTGATGAAGAAAAAACGAAAGTATCCATCATAATGAAGTAAAATGGTAAAGTAAATATTTTATGTGTTTTATGAAAGTTTAAATGGTCTTGTTATTGTAATGCATACACTCTTGAAAAGTATTAACTCATGACATGATCGAATCTAATCAAAAATAGCTCCAATTTCTGACTTGTTGCTGCTTGGACGTAGATAAACGTCCAAGAAAAAATATCTAAAAATAGTATCCAAAGATGCGTCATTAATAATTCAATCCAGCGAGATAAACATAATAGTAACTACTTGATTTCAAGCAACACGTCAAAAGAACTTGAAATATTTGAAGAAAAGTATAGTTTATGTACATGGATTAAGGTCTAATCAGCGTAAAATTGGGAACAACTCAAAACTTTCCAATTAATGTGCACTACTTTCACTTTTATTTTAGAAAGATGACCTCACTTACATTTGTGCTGCCAGTATTTTTACTGTAACATCAAAATCAATAAACATTCACATACTAAGAAAGAGAGAAGTATATGTTTGAAAAGAATTGGCGATAGTTTATGTTATTTTGAAGTTATTAAAGTGGATTGATTAATATTTACAAATGATTTACAACTTTAAGAATGTTTGAGGTACAGTAGAAATTTTTACTCTTGTTAAATATTAGATTTTTTTTTATATAAACTTTTTAACTTTTCGCCCAAATATCGCCTATTGAAAGCTTGATTTTACTTCTTTTAGTTGCTTTTATTTGACAGAATAGGTAACCTGTAAAATAAAATATATACTCAGCCCACCTCGGTGCAAAACAGATGTTAACGCCCAATTTAAAAAACTGACTCTAGGTTAAAGAAATATGATAACTTAGTATTAAGAGTCATGCTAGATGAACTTTTGCCTGTGCTGTATTTTGAAATAGTATTACAGCAATAAATGATCTAAATGAAGATTTTATCAAATTAATTATTTGATAGATTGATTGATTAGTGTTTAATGCCATTTTATCCAATTGATGATTGGTGTCATGCATGAAGGGTTGCGGTACTGTCTGCATTTGAAAGTACCCTTTCACTAACTTTCAAGCTTTTTAAATCTATAAGTGACCTTTTACAAATGAACATTTCTGTCTATTCAATGTATTTTAGTCAAAATTTGCAGACTGTAATTTGGGTGACCAACTTTGCAGAGCATACGGTAACCAAATTAATTCTATCTCATCCAGAATGTATGCATAAAGAATTTGCCGCTAGCATGAGAGGATGTGAAACATACGACAATCAATCAATCATTATAGAGAATGTTTGCTTATCTTGTTTTTTTAGTTTCGTTAAATATATATATATATATATATATACTATCAATTTATAATAGTCTTTTAAGAAGCTTGTTATTTTGAAACAGAGTAGCGAACACCCTTAACCAGATGACCTTTACATTTTCTTTTTGAACCGTTCGTTATAGTTTATATTATTTAATTAATCCATACTGACCATAGTATCAAATTTATTTTAAGGTATGAAATTTACAAATGAACATTTCTGTCTATTCAATGTATTTTAGTCAAAATTTGCAGACTGTAATTTGGGTGACCAACTTTGCAGAGCATACGGTAACTAAATTAATTCTATCTCATCCAGAATGTATGCATAAAGAATTTGCCGCTAGCATGAGAGGATGTGAAACAAACGACAATCAATCAATCATTATAGAGAATGTTTGCTTACTGTGGATTCATTTTTATTCGTGGTATACCAATTTTCGTGGGTTTCGTGGGTCACAGCGAACCATGAATTTAAGAATTCAACGAAGAATAATCCTGAGAAATGTGTATGGAGTCGGATGTTTATTTCCGGTTATGTTATGCAGTTCTAGTATAGTGTTGACTAGCGATAAACATTGTAACATAACACGAGTTTTTATTGAAAGAAGATACAAGTATTTTGGTTAAATCAATAATAAATATATCGAATATCAATGATAATTTACTTTTTAAAATTGGTTAAAACTGTTCATGGAAAATAACTGCAAGTTGTTAATTATCGTGTCATAGTTTGGTTTACTGGTGATTAAAAAATCAATAGGATTAAGTACGGGGATATTGCCTGTAGGTAATATTGTTTATGACATGAACATTTATTTTCACACCTTTTACTTATATGACTGTTTATTATATCTGATTAGGGAAATGCGCTTTCAATCATAGAGTTTTGAATGCCTTATAAAATTCCGACAAGAATTTATAAATTGTAAAACAAACAAATGATTATTTGTCTCTGTCCATTATTGTAATAGAAGTTTTCAATGAACATGATGAACACTTTAACCTAGAATGACCAAGCGAGGATTTTGACAATTCAAAACTTTTTCAATGAATTCCTTCTATTTTCTTTGTTTTATTATTGATCAAACCAAGGAGGTTATATGATCTCCTAAATCAAAAAGAAATCCATGAATTACGTATCTGAATTTTTTTTTTGTAATCAGCAATCCACGAATTTACGTATACCACGAAACAACTTTTTTTCTCTATCCACGAAAATTGATACCCACGAAAATAAATGAATCCACAGTATCTTGTTTTTTTAGTTTCGTTACATATATCAATTTATAATAAAATTGAGAATGGAAATGGGGAATGTGTCAAAGAGATAACAACCCGACCATAGAGCAGACAACAGCCAATAATAGTCTTTTAAGAAGCTTGTTATTTTGAAACAGAGTAGCAAACACCCTTAACCAGATGAGATTTACATTTTCTTTTTGAACCGTTCGTTATAGTTTATATTATTTAATTCATCCATACTGACCATAGTATCAAATTTATTTTAAGGTATGAAATATACAGATGATGATCTTCAAAGAAGGACAGAATATCTTACTGGTAAGAAAAAAGTTTGATCTATACGGTTTAGATTTAGAAATTAGTGCTGAAACATATTGTATAGACATCTGTCTATTGTTAATTAGTGCATTTTCATTTGCATCATTGGGTCGCTGTCTTGTTAACATACACTCCACATCTAGTTTTGCTATGTTTATTCATGCATTGTGATAAACATGTATATATTTGGTAAAACCTGATACCTAACGAAAGTCTATGCCAAGCCTTGATAATAGAATATTCTGTGTTGCCCGTCACTGTGCAAAGTTTTCGCATGGAACCAATCACATTCAGTTTTTTAAATGCGGTTCCTTACCTGGAAGAAGAAGAAGAATAAGGATATAAAAAATTGTTAATAAAATCTCAGATGCTGAATACTTAGTTGAGCATAATTTTGAAAGGTATTCTTAAAAAGAAAAGAATCTGAAAGGTTCATATACTTCTTTGGTACAATTAACTCCAAATAATTTAAGGCAGGTCATGTTTTAGAAAAAAAATTGCATTAAAGAATTATGGTGTACATATATAATAAGATGATGATACTTCCTAAAAATGACGGTTTTGGTGCAAATCTGAAATCCATGACATTTTATGCTCCAGCCGTAGGCATTAAGTGTTACCCTTGACCATCTGTCCTTCTGTCATCCCATCTTTCCTACCTTCCGTCTTTCTGTCCGTCCCATTTTGGTTGCAAACCTTGAGTGGGGCATTTGTGTCCTCAGACACATTTATCTTTGATTTCACTATGAAATATATCTTAGTATTGGATCTAATGAAAATCATATGTTTACATGAAAATAGTTTGGAATCAAAGAAATAATATGCATAAATTATTTTGGGAAATCATTTCACAATATGAAAATATAAGAAGATGTGGTATGATTGCCAATGAGACAACTCTACACCAGAGACCACATGACGCAGAAGGTTAGAAACTATAGGTCACTGTTCAACATTCAATAATGAGCAAAACCCATACCACATGGCAAGATTTAACATGCCCCAAAATTTCAAATGTAAAACAAATCAAAAGAGAAAACTAACAGCCTTGATTTAAGTACAGATATGGGTGATAAAGCTTTCTTAAAATTGAGAATTTTGTGCCAATTTGAAAGTCATGATGTACATGTACACCACTATATGGACCCTAGTTTTAACAATCAAAGAAAATATCATGTTCATCTAATTACATACATTTTTCGAGCTTCACATATATTAGGAGTTGAGAGTGAACACACATTATAACTAATTTTATACCTTTTCAGATTCTTGTATTTTTGATAAATGTCATTGATGGATCTAGAAACTGTACAGCACCATTGCGTGTAGCATCATGCCCTAAAAATACCCATGAATGGAGGCAAAGAGCAAAGAACCATTGCAATAATGAAGCTTATTTATATCACTGTCTTGTTACACAAAAAGATGAGCTTGTAGAATGTTGCATGACGCTAGAGATAGTAGATGCAGGTAAATTTAATAAAAATCAATCTTACTATATTATGCACATAGAATCATTGCAGGCATGGCAGGTGTAAATATGAAAATAAGGACACGTGGTATGATTGCCAATGAGACAACTATCCACCAGAGATCAAATGACTGTGCCCAGTGTTACCCTTAAAACAGTAGATATGCTGATCCTACAATGAATTACCCTGATACTATCAGAAATGATTCTCTAAGGTGTTATTTGCAATAAATTTGTTACCCCTGATGCTATAAATTTGAGAAACATAATGATATTATAAATTTTAAATTACTGTTGAGAACACTGCTTAAATGTTTTTGGTTTTAGTGTAAGAAAGTTAGTTATAAGAATTATTTAAAGAGTTTTGATTGCTATCATGAGGACAGATTTTTATGCAGAGTTGTATCTTTCGTCATCTAGTAATTAGTAATCTACTCTCAATCACATTTACATCAACTTGACCTTGGCTGTGAACTTGATGAGTATTATAAAACTAAAAAAAAAATATAGAAACATTAGATGCAATTTATTGCTTTGGTGTGATTAATTGAGACTCACTCGTTAGTTTTTACTAAAACTTGTACTAGTGGTTTAAAGTTATATCTCTTAGTCTTTTAATTTTTATGCCCCATTTATGGGCATTATATTTTTCGGTCTGTGCGTCTGTTCGTTCGTCCGTCTGTCCCGCATCCGTGTACTATGGACACATTCTTGTTGAGAACTATTTTAACTGGGCAGATTTGGTTGGTTATAACCCCTGGCCCGAATACCAAGGGCTGAAAAAGGGTTTTATACCATGGCTCTGGAGGAAGCATTTTTAACACATGACAGCTTAGTCATATAAAGATTGAAAATCATCTTAGTTTCTAGATAAATTTCTTGAAAGATATCTTTATTTATAATTGTAATTCAGCAATAATATTAGGCATTTGCCCCTAGACCTGACAGTTTAGCAAGGGTCATAGGAATCCTTGCACTTATATTTTTAAGGGATACCTGAAAGAAGGTTTTCTATATTTGGGGCTAATGAGAAAGTAATGTAAACATTTTTTTTTGTGATAAGGCCAAAAAAAAATATATGTCTGTTTAAGGTTACATACTTTAAAAAAATAGGGTAGGTAGGTCGGTATTTCCATTTTATTTTATTTTTTTATTTTATTTTTTGTGACATGTTTTTGAGTCATGCCGTTTCGTCTTGTCGTGGTCCGAGTTGATCATTGGCCGAGTTTACCCGTATTTTTAATGATTGGATTATTTCCCTTGGTAATTGGTTGGAAAAAATGGCGGCAAAGCGTTTATTTCATCACACGAGTTGCGAATTTCCTTAATACAGCTGTCATATTCACAATTGTGAACATTGGGATGTATCAGGCAATTGATTTATGTTATTTGCAACACTAACTTCGCTTTTGACACAAGTTCAGCATTGTTCAGTTTATTTTTTACTTTACAACGGAAATAAAATGACTTAGGATCGGCGCTCAAAAGTAGGGTCGGTCGGGTAACCGTAAACAGACAATATATTTTTTTTGGCCTAACTGACTTTTCCTGCTCCCTGATTTTTTTTTGAAAGAAAGGATTTCAGGGGAAAGAACTAGGCTACCATTTAGTTTACATGAACTTCTATTTCAGGTCAGTTTCCACAGTACAACACATTGAACAACAAGATACAGAAAATAGACTGTGATATTGATTATTATATGCCATCCAAATGGCCCTCCAATGAGATACTTAATCATGGACCTAGACATTGCAAATATGAAAAAAGTAAATGTAATCTAATGGGCATGAAAATTTGTTCGGATGGAAATACAAAAACAGATCGAACATGTAAATGTGATTATATGAACAAGTATGTACCAGAAATGAATATCAGTACACCATGCTTCGACCAAAGTAAAAGCGGATGTATACCAACAAAGGATTGTCCCGGTAAAAACGAAGAAATAAACATGGGTTAGTTATTATGAATTATATCTGTTATAAATTGATGAAGTGATGAAACTTTAAGTTTTTAATATATAAAGTTTGTTTTGAGACAATCAAAAACCCTATGTTGAAGAAAAACAGACAATATAAACCATGGTTAAAATAGAAAGAAAATGGAGAAAAGACAAAACAACATTACACATGACACAAACAAAATTTGTTTGTGAAAATTGCTATGAAGTTAAATAGAATACAGATATTTTATTTTTGTCTCGCTTGACAGAGTCAAAAAGTGAGACATAGGTATGCTGTTTTCGGCGGCGGCGGCGTCAACAATGTATTAGTTTGTGATTAGGTCTAGTTTATGGTGAACCACTAGTGGTAAGTCAAAGATATTTGTTATGCAGTTGTATTAGTATTGGCACATCTCATTACCATGGAGATTATTTGGCCCCACCCCCTCAGTTATGGTCTATTGACTTTGAAACTTTTGCTTAGTTTTCATGTATTAGTTTGTGATTAGGTCAGTTTATAGAGGAACTATTAGTGGTAAGTTATTTATAATTGATATGCAGTTGTATAAGCATTGGCATATCTCATGTCCATGAAGATTATTTGGCCCTGCCCCCTCAGTCATGGTCTATTGACTTTGAAACTTTTGCTTAGTTTTCATGTATTAGTTTGAGATAAGGTCGGTTTACGGGGAACCACTAGTGGTAGGTCAATGATATTTGGTATGCAGTTGTATTAGCATTGGCACATCTCATTACCATGGAGATTGTTTGACCCCACCCCCTCAGTTATGGTTTATTGACTTTGAAATTTTGCTTAGTTTACATGTATTAGTTTGTGTTGAGGTTTGTTTAAAGGGAACTACTTATGATAAGTCAATGGTATTTGGTATGCAGGTGAATTAGCATTGGCACATCTCATTTCCATGGAGATTGTTTAGCCATGTACCTTCAGTCATGGTTCATTGACTTTGAATATTTGCAAATCTTACATGTGAAAGTGTTGCTTTTTTAATTTCAACATTTGCGTTATCGAAATTACCAAAAAGCGAGACATATCTCTGTGATAACAGTTTATTCTTATAATTATCATTATTAATTGAATCTACTTTTGAATTTTAAGAATACAAGTGTATTCAAGTTTGTGATCCAGGATTTTATCGACCAGAAGGAAGAATGAATTGTACAGTAGTGCTTGAAAGTACAACGTAAGTGTAGAAAGCTACAAAATTATGTTTGAAAATAAGCTCTTGACACATTCCCTTTTCCATTCTCGATTTTTTTTTATCAATTTTAATGTAATGCAGGAAATTCCAATTAATCAGATTAATGTGACTAATTTTGATATTTTTAAATTTTTCTAATAGATGCAAGTACATACTTTACTATTTTATTTTATTAGCTTGTTATTATTGTTTCAAAATGTTTATAATTAAAACAATAACATTAGTGGTATATTTTTACCTTCAGACAAAATACAGCCACTAACACTGACGATACAACCAAAGACACGAAAGATGATATGAGAAGTAATATGACGAATCCAACAGGTATACACTCAGGTTGTGGAGGGGGGCACTTCAATACTTAATGGATAGGGGGTGCCGCTGGGGTTCTGTTACCCCACCCTTTTCATATAATTTAGATTTTGAAATTGTAAACCTTTTCATATATAGCGTAGGTTAAAAAGTTACCTTTTCCCATATTGTTTTGGTTTCGTGTTGTGAAATGTAAGTGTGGAATACAAAAGTGTCAAAAGAGAGAAACATGTTGATAAAAACACATCCAGAAACACCAACAAAGATGACAGACGAAGAAATAATGGGAACTTTATTGACCTTATCATATATTTCGGATAGTTTTTCCGACCTATTCACATATTTTTAAGCTTGAAAAGGTGACCTGCTCCAGCGGCACCTCCTATCACCTTGTATATAGGAAGTGCCCCCCCCCCCCCCCCCCGAGAATATATTATGGCCTTTTTATGAAATTTTCCTTTGATCTTACAGACTGATAATTTCCTTTCTTAGCACAGTAGAATGATATGAAAAATTTGTGCTAGAAACTAAGGGCGCACGTGCCCGTTGTCAATGAGATTAACAACTTCATCATAGGTAAAATAGCGATAAACAGATTATCATTGGTCATCTCTACTCAATTGCTTTTCTTACTTTCGCCGTACTGGCTAAAGCGAGAAAATCAATCTTGTTGAGTGATAAACGATAATCTATAATTATTATATACTGAGGATTCATTATTATTCATTGGAAACCAATTTTAGTGGGTTTCATGGGTTCAGGTGAACTACGAATTTAGGTGTTCAATGAATGAAAATTTGAATATAGGCTTGAATGCAGACTTTGGCAAAACCATGAAATCAGATAGCAGCGAAAATGCAAGTTTTCCTCAATCCACGAAAAATAAGTGCCCACGAAAATAAATGTATCCACAGTAACTAAAAAAATTCTCTTTTTTCATTGGCTAAAATCATACAGTCTTCTTTGATAAAACATTATATTCACCGTGAGAAAAATCATGAATTTGGAAGAGCTAAAGTGTACCGGTACCTAAATATAGATATTGCAAGGCAACATCAATGATGTAGCTCTATGCTGTCATCAGATTCTCAATTTTTTCTTTTTCTTGTTTTATGTGTATTTTTATACGCCCGTTTACGGGACGTATTATGGTATACCGTTGACTGTCTGTCCGTCTGTCCGTCCGTCAGTCCGTCCGTCTGTCTGTCCGTCCGTCGTCAACATGTCGGACATTAACTCAAAAAAGCTTTAACCAATATGCATGAAACTTTGGTGAATTGTTAATATCAGTTGCATAGTATTGCGCAATAGCAAGAAATCTTCAATTGCACAGTATTGTGCAATAGCAAGAAATCTTCAATTGCATAGTATTGCGCAATACCAAGAAATCTTCAATTGCACAGTATTGTGCAATAGCACAGTATAACGCAATAGCTAGAAATCTTCAATTGCACAGTATTGTGCTATAGCACAGTATTGCGCAATAGCAAAGTATTGCGCAATAGCAGTATTGCACAATAGCAAGAAATTTTCAATTGGGTCAATGTTTGCAATTGTTTCTCCATAGGCGGTAATGGTAACGTTTTCTTCTGTTGCTCAGTCCATATCATTAACTTGGATATGTATGATGACTCGTTTCGAAGCTGAGACATTATCACATATGTGGTTAAATTTTCAGGGTAGGAAGTTAGATTACTTTTCCCTTAAATTAGCAAACCCTGAAAATCCTTTCGTGATGCGGCTCCTCGTGGTAAAAAATCCCTTTTTTAACACAATAAGTTCTTTAAAAATTTAATACTTTGAACACATTTAATAGCTCCATAGTTTTTACACATTTATTCTATGTTCCCCTACTTTCTAAATCAACACAAATGGTTAAGCTCAGTCACTTGTTTATCATAGAAATGTGTCAAATATAACTACACAGAGATTTTTTGTTTACACACAACTTTTAAGTTCCTCATTTTGAGGCGCATTAGGGATAAAACCACTCTAAACTACTGTGAATGGCATTTTTATGATATATTTAGAGTGAAATGAAGTACAAATTTTCAAAATTTGTCCTTTCACATAATTCTATTTAAAAAAAAAAGTTTTTTTAGATGTATTTCTGTGAAAACCCTTTATCAGTGAGAAATGCACATGAGGTTTTAAAGGAAACATTGTGACATCACATGTATTATGACATCATTAAATAACGACCGATTAAAATAATGCTAATTACAGTTTGCAGTGATACATGAGGAACAGTTGCTTCAAGGTTTAACTCGAAATATCGAGTCGAAAAGATCAGTAACTAAGCATTTTTATATAATATCAAGACCATAGCAACAGTTTTCATATCAGCATATTTTCAACATACTGACTGTAATTTCAATTGCATAAATACCATAAATAAACAATTTAGAGCTTGCCTAATAAAATAAAATGCTTACCAGTTATTTAGAACTGTTTATAACCTCTAGTTTGCCGTCTCAGGTTAAATAGTAATGATATGTCTCAAACTGAAATAAGACAAAAAAATTTACTCAGGCTGTGTTATCATTTCATATAAATACATAAGTATTATTGAGAGAGAAAAAATCTCATTCTTGAAAGTTTTATCACAAAAAAAGAGAGATGCTTCTCCCTTGTGGCTTATTAACTTTCATTTAAACCTTTTATATGAGGAGCAATGAGTAGTATCTTAATTATAATAGTTGAATAGGTGCAGCACTATGTTTTCAAAAGGTTTGACCCTCCCCCTTTTTCACTGAGAAAAAGACAATATCTTGTGATTTGCTTGCGTGCATTAAAATTGAATAGTTCATGATTTTCTGAAGACATATTTGTCTGTTTATTCGCATATAATTTATAATGACCAGAGGTCAAATTATTGGGTAAACGCACATGTACAAAATGTAATGATGACTTATGTATCTAATTAGCTCACCGGGGCCCAAAGGGCCCCATGTGAGCTTATGCCATCACTTGGCGTCCGTCGTCTGTCGTCGTCTGTCGTCGTAAACTATTTCAAAAATCTTCTCCTCTGAAACTACTGGGCCAAAATAACTTCAAACTTTAACTAAATGTTCCTTAGGGTATCTAGTTTATAAATTGTATCAGAAGTTTTGATCCATCGACAAACGTGGCCGCCATGGCTTAAAATAGAACATAGGGGTCAAATGCAGTTTTTGGCTTATATCTAAAAAACTAAAGCTTTTAGAGCAAATCTGACATGGGGGTAAAATTGTTCAATTGGTCAAGATCTATCAGCTCTGAAATTTTCAGACGAATCGAACAGCCCATTGTTGGGTTGCTGCCACCAAATTGGTAGTTTTAACAAAATTTTGCAGTTTTTATACGACCGCAAAAAAATTTTGTGGTCGTATATTGGTATGACGTTGGCGTCGGCGTCGTTGTCGTCGTCGTCGTCGTCGTCCGGCGTCGTCGTCCGAATACATATTGGTTTTCGCACTCTAACTTTAGTTTAAGTGAATGGATCTTTTTGAAATTTGACCATAAGGTTAAATACCACAAAAGGAAGGTTGGGATTGATTTTGGGGGTTATGGTACCAACAGTTAAGGAATTAGGGGCCAAAAAGGGGCCAAAAATGAGCATTTTCTAGTTTCCAGACAATAACTGTGGAACGGTGTATGGATCTCTCTGAAATTATACTACAAGTTTCCATACCACAAAGGGATGGTTAGGATTTGCTTTGGGGGGTTATGGCTCAAACCGTTTAGGAATTAGGGGCAAAAAAGGGGGAAAAACAAGGTTGTCCTGGTTAATGGACAAATACTTTAGTACAAAACATAATTTAAAGCAGTGTAAGGGAGATAAATCAAATACATCATTGAAATTATCTCCCTTACACTGCTTTTAAATTATGTATAAAGTAATGGTTAATGAACAATAAAGATAATCTAAAACAGTGTAAGGGAGGTAATCCAAATACAACGTTTTAGTTACTTCCCTTACACTGCTTTTAAATTATGTTTAAAGAAATGCATATTTATAAAGGAAGACCAGTAAAAATATCTGCAAATGTTTTCATCTTTTTTTTTTACAAAAAAATCCATATGAAAGATTTGACACTATATTTTTATTAATTCTATTATAAAATAGATTAAGTTAGCACTATGGTAAATTTAAATGGGTAATTATGGTTGCCAACTCCATTGGAAATTTGAATTGAGATTATGACCATATCTTGAGGGAAAGAATTTTTTTGGGGGAAAAAGGGGGGGGGGATAAAAAGAAATTGTGGGGGGCCAATTTTTTCTCATTTCAGATTTCAGAAATTAAAAAGAATTATTCTTCAAATATTATTTTTTTTTCAAATTTCAAATATTGAAAAATTTCAAGAAGTAATCTTTAATTGCACAGTATGGCGCATTAGATTTGTAAAATCTTTGATCACATTTATTTATTTGTTATGCCGAATCTAACAGTGTATTTAGATTTTTAATTTTGGGTCCAGTTTTCAAATTGGTCTACATTAATGTCCAAAGGGTCCAAAATTAAACTTTGTTTGATTTTAGCAAAAATTGAATATATGAGGTTCTTTGATATGCTGAATCTAAACATGTATTTAGATTTTTGATTTTTGGCCCAGTTTTCAAGTTGGTCCAAATTGGGGTCCAAAATTAAACTTTGTTTGATTTCAACAAAAATTTGAATATATGGGGTTCTTTGATATGCTGAATCTAACCATGTATTTAGATTTTTTATTTGTGGACCCCGTTATCTAATTGGTTCATATTGAGGTCAAAAGGGTCCAAAATTAAACTTTGTTTGATTTCATCTAAAATTGAATTATTGGGGTTCTTTGATATTCCAAATCTAACCGTGTATTTAGGTTTTTAATTTTGGGTCCTGTTTTTTAAATTGGTCTACATTGAGGTCCAAAGGGTCCAAAATTAAACTTAGTTTGATTTTAACAAAAATTGAATTCTTGGGGTTCTTTGATTTGCTGAATCTAAACATGTGTTTAGATTTTTGATTATGGGCCCAGTTTTCAAGTTGGTCCAAGATAGGGTCCAGTATTTAAACTTTGTTTGATTTCAACAAAAATTGAATATGTGGGGTTCTTTGCTATGCTGAATCTAAACATGTATTTAGATTTTTGATTATGGGCCCAGTTTTCAAGTTGGTCCAAATTGGGGTCCAAAATTAAACTTTGTTTGATTTCAACAAAAATTGAATATATGAGGTTCTTTGATATGCTGAATCTAACCATGTATTTAGATTTTTTATTTGTAGGCCCCGCTATCAAATTGGTTCATATTGAGGTCAAAAGGGTCCAAAATTAAACTTTGTTTGATTTCATCGAAAATTGAATTATTGGGGTTCTTTGATATGCCAAATCTAACCGTGTATTTAGATTTTTAATTTGGGTCCCGTTTTTTAAATTGGTCTTCATTGAGGTCCAAAGGGTCCAAAATTAAACTTAGTTTGATTTTAACAAAAATTGAATTCTTGGGGTTCTTTGATATGCTGAATCTAAACATGTATTTAGATTTTTGATTATGGGCCCAGTTTTCAAGTTGGTCCAAATTGGGGTCCAAAATTAAACTTTTTTTGATTTCAACAAAAATTGAATATATGGGGTTCTTTGATATGCTGAATCTAACCATGAATTTAGAATTTTTATTTGTGGGCCCCGCTATCAAATTGGTTCATATTGAGGTCAAAAGGGTCCAAAATTAAACTTTGTTTGATTTCATCAAAAATTGAATTATTGGGGTTCTTTGATATTCCAAATCTAACCGTGTATTTAGATTTTTAATTTTAAGTCCCGTTTTTTAAATTGGTCTACATTAAGGTCCAAAGGGTCCAAAATTAAACTTAGTTTGATTTTAGCAAAAATTGAATTCTTGGGGTTCTTTGATATGCTGAATCTAAACAATTGTTTAGATTTTTGATTATGGGCCCAGTTTTCAAGTTTGTCCAAGTTGGGGTCCAAAATTAAACTTTGTTTGATTTTAACAAAAATTGAATATATGGGGTTCTTTGATATGCTGAATCTTACCATGTATTTTGATTTTGGACATTGGACCATAATAGGTAAATTAAAAAAAATTCAAGTTCTTAGACCACATTCTTTCTGTGTCAGAAACCTATGCTGTGTCAAATATTTAATAACAATCCAAATTCAGAGCTGTATCAAGCTTGAATGTTGTGTCCATACTTGCCCCAACTGTTCAGGGTTCGACCTCTGCGGTCGTATCAAGCTGCGCCCCAGCGAAGCATTTTATTTGTTACTATTTTGAATATTATTATAGATATATATAAACTGTAAGCAACAATAATGTTCAGCAAAGTAAGATCTACAAAAAAGTTGTTATGACCATAATTGTCAATTGACCCCTTAAGGAGTTATTGCCCTTTAAAGACAATTTTACACAATTTGTTCATCAAGTTTGCTAACATTTAAAAAATCTTCTCCTCTGAAACTACTGGGCCAATTACCTTCAAACTTTAAGTAAATGTTCCTTAGGGTATCTTGTTTATATATTGTATCCGAAGTTTGTATCCATCGACAAACATGGCCGCCATGGCTAAAAATAGAACATAAGGGTCAAATGCAGTTTTTGGCTTATCTCTCAAAAACTAAATCTTTTAGAGCAAATGTGACATGGGGTAAAATTGTTTAATTGGTCAAAATTTATTGGCCCTGAAATTATCAGACGAATCGAACAATCCATTGTTGGGTTGCTGCCACTGAATTGGTAGTTTTAACAAAATTTTGCAGTTTTTTGTTACTATTTTGAATATTATTATAGATATATATAAACTGTAAGCAGCAATAATGTTCAGCAAAGTAAGATCTACAAAAAAGTTATTATGACCATAATTGTCAATTGACCCCTTAAGGAGTTATTGCCCTTTAAAGACAATTTTACACAATTTGTTCATCAAGTTTGCTAACATTTAAAAAATCTTCTCCTCTGAAACTACTGGGCCAATTACCTTCAAACTTTAAGTAAATGTTCCTTAGGGTATCTTGTTTATATATTGTATCCGAAGTTTGTATCCATCGACAAACATGGCCGCCATGGCTAAAAATAGAACATAAGGGTCAAATGCAGTTTTTGGCTTATCTCTCAAAAACTAAATCTTTTAGAGCAAATGTGACATGGGGTAAAATTGTTTAATTGGTCAAAATTTATTGGCCCTGAAATTATCAGACGAATCGAACAATCCATTGTTGGGTTGCTGCCACCGAATTGGTAGTTTTAACAAAATTTTGCAGTTTTTTGTTATTATTTTGAATATTATTATAGATATATATAAACTGTACGCAGCAATAATGTTCAGCAAAGTAAGATCTACAAGAAAGTTAATATGACCAAAATTGTCAATTGACCCCTTAAGGAGTTATTGCCCTTTAAAGACAATTTTACACAATTTGTTCATCAAGTTTGCTAACATTTAAAAATCTCCTCTGAAATACAGTTGAGCGATTCAGGCTCTTGAGAGCCTCTTGTTTTACTTGTGTGAAGTGTGTTATTTTTCTATATTATCAGTAATTCCTGTAGACTAGAATGATAATTACAAAACAAAGACTTTATTGTGTCATGTTTACTTACAATTTAATAATGTTATTAAATCTTCATGCTTGTTTCCAATCATAACAAGTACCTTTCGGATCTCTCGGGAAAACAGAGATTAGATTGTGCATAAAAGAAGTGTTCAGCCCCGTGCCAGTAATGCATTTCAAAAGCAAAAATAGTGGCTGATCTTTATAGATAATGTTTATCTAGAACCAGCTGTGATAACTAGGTATATATTAAAGACAACTAACCTTCATTTTCACAATTTTCTCTGGTGTACAAGGTGCAATCCTTCATAAATCAGTCTGAGAGCTACTGATATCTTGTTGTAAGATGGGTCAATGTTCGCAATTGTTTCTCCATAGGCGGTAATGGTAACGTTTTCTTCTGTTGCTCAGTCCATATCATTAACTTGGATATGTATGATGGCTTGTTTTGAAGCTGAGACATTTTCACATATGTGGTTAAATTTTCGTGGTATGAAGTGAGATTACTTTTTCCGTAAATTAGCAAACCCCAAAAAACCTTTCGTGATGTGGCTCCTCGTGTTAAAAAATCCCTTTTTTAACACAATAAGTTCTTTGAAAATTTAATACTTTGAACACATTTAATAGCTCCATAGTTTTTACACATTTATTCTATGTTCCCCTACTTTCTAAATCAACACAAATGGTTAAGCTCAGTCACTTGTTTATCATAGAAACGTGTCAAATATCACTACACAGAGATTTTTTGTTTACACAGAACTTTTGAGTTCCTCATTTTGAGGCGCATTAGGGATATTGACCCAATTGCACAGTATTGCACAATAGCAAGAAATCTTCAGTTGCACAGTATTGCGCAATAGCAAGAAATCTTCAATTGCACAGTATTGCACAATAGCAAGAAATATTCAATTGAAAATTAATACAAATCTTTTCAACAATTTCAATTGGATTAATTTAAAGTCTTTAATTTTTTGGGGGTTCTAACCTTTTATTACTATTTTGGATATTGGGGTCCCATTTTTAAATTGGTCTACATTGAGGTCCAAAGCGTCCAAAATTAAACTTTGTTTGCTTTCGTCAAAAACTGAATTATTGCGGCTCTATGCTATGCTGAATCTTATTGTGCATTTAGATTTATTATTTTTGGCTCTTGTTTTCAAATTAGTCCATATTCAGGTTTTTTTATATGCTGAATCTAACCATGTTGTTAGATTTTGGATATCAGGCTATACTTGTTAAATTAAATGTCCCATTTCAAATTTTTAAGATCTTTTACCACATTTATTTTGTGTCAGAAACCTAAATTATGTAAATTTTTTTATCACAATCCAAATTCAGACAGTATCAAGCTTGACTATTGTGTTCAAATTGCCCCAACTGTTCAGGGTTTGACCTCTGCGGTCGTATCAGGCTGCGCTCGGCGAAGCATTTTCTTATGCATTGTCCTCTGCTGTTTAACTTTTGTCATGTTGTAAATATGTTGTCGTTGCTAAAGCATATTAAATGCTTTCTTCACTAAAGTATTCATTAAGGTATGTAATTATACTATATATGGAGACACAATTGGTTGGTTGACATTAAGCAACTATCACTCAATCAGTGGATGATCCAGGGGGGGGGGGGGGGGGGGTCCGCGGTTGGAATCCCCCCCTTTTTTTTTTTGACGATCAATACATTTGAATGGGTACATATGGTTGGACCCCCAATTTATCCTTGGTTGGGAACCCCCATTTTGAAAATGGCTGGATCCGCCCCTGCTCAATTAATAGTTTCTTTGATTTTTTTATGGGATAAAGATAATTTAAATGTGGGAGATGATTTATGAGCTTTGTCAAAAGAACCCATAGTTATTTATATTTATGTTGTAAATTATTTATTTAGGTGTTTACCAATTTGAAATATTTATTTGTAAATAAGACATGTTTGTTTATTACTGATAATTGAAATAATAAATACAGTTATTTATCTTCTATTTCAGATTTTAAGACAACAGTTGCTATACTAGTTGTAGTAGTATTTGCTGGTATTTTGGCTTTATTGGTCTATTTTGTCAAAATTGGTAGTAAGTATACTTAAAACACATTTAGCTCTGAATTCTCCCCCCAAAAAATTAAGCCAGTAGAAAATAGTTATTAAGGGACAGAAGACTTATGAGAACAAAATAAACATCTTTTGACATGTTTTTTTTTTGTGAACCAATATGTTAATCTCTATTATTATACTTCATATCAAAATGCGGGATTCTGATTGGTTAATACAAGGAAGACAATTTACTCTTATCCCATGGCAAATACTCTGTCACCCTTCACAGAGATGTTTGATCATTTGTGCGCTTTACTAAATAGGGATGACTGTTATGTATGAGACGTGATTTTTGAACAGACAGTTTATAACATACCATTCAATATAATAAAGTAAATAACACATAGCTAAAAGGGTGATAGAGCAGATTGTTACCCCTCTAAAATCATTGTCAACCTTGGCTTAGCTGTGGTTAACAATGTTTTCTCTTGGTAACAATCTGCTCTATCACCCTCTCAGCTATGTGTTATTTATATAATGTCTGTAACATTAATAAGTTATCTAGAATTACTTTTATAAAACCTTGTTAAAAATGGTTAAATACTGTATATTTAGTAAAAATGAAAACAAATTATGTGTTTCCTATATTTTTGCAGATATTTTTTCTGAAAGGTCAATTTTAGTTTACCCATACTCATGGAATACTACAATTTCCATGTCCCTTTGTTCATTGATTTGTCTATCCTTCTTACACTCATAACATTCATGACATCTCATACCTGCCAACTTTTCAATACTTCCATTGGGGATTTTAAACGTAAGAGGACCTAGTGCATGTTTTAAACATGTCTAAAGGTATATTCAATAGGATATACTAAGAATTTTAAGGAGTATATATGAATTTTAATGCCATTTAACTCATTTGAATAGCTATTTTGAGATATACAGTTCATATAATGGCGGATTTGAATAGTCAGGCCAACCACTCACATGGGTGATATCCCCTACAAATTGGGATAGTTGCCAGGCCTGAGTAATCTTTCTCAGCTTTTGTATTAAGAAATGATTTGATATTCAGTCTAGAACTTAATTCTGCAGATTTGTATTGTGTAAGCCATTTTCATATCTTTTGGGCAGTCCCAATCTGTTTGACAGAACTTAGAATTTTGATAATAGGGAGTACAATCTTGCAGTGGGGGCAGTGTAGAATATTTGAATAAAGCTTAATATTTCAGAAGACCTGGATGCTTCATACTTTGTATGGAGATACCTTATGTTACAAAGTTTCTGTCATTCATGTTTTTGTAGTCTAGTTCATATCTCAGATACTAGAAGCAATATGCCAACTGTATCTGCTGTATGAAATGATTGTAAGGTGTACATGTCTGTCTGGCAGCTGGTTTCATCTGACCTTGACCTCATTTACATGGTTCATTGGTCAATGTTAAGTTTTCATGGTTTTGTCCATTTAACAGATACTGTAAGCAATAGGTCAACTATATTTGTATATGGGATGATTGTAAGGTGTATGCATATCTGTTTGGCAGGGCCCATCTGACCTTAACCTATTTGTCATGGTTCATTGGTCAAAGTCAAGTTTTCTTGGTTAGGTCTGTTTCTAAAATACTACAGGTAATAGTTTTAACTATATTTGGGGTTTGAAATGATTGTCCTTCTGACAGGGTGCATCCGACCTCATTTACGTGGATCATTAATAATGTTATTTATATGTAATTCTTGTAGTACATGTGTAACCTTCTTCTTAATGACTTTCAACATAAATTCAATCATGATCAGTAAAGCAGGCAACACTTTTCAGCATGTGCACTTATGTTGTGTTGTTTGCACACATTTAGGCTTATGTGCCCTTTCAACTGCCACAGCATAGATGACATAAGTGAATAGTATGCATAGATACTATGTGAGCAATGATAGTTTAATCATTTATTATTTCAGAACTACAGGATATTGCATGCTGTAGCTGGATTATAAATAATATCACCGCAAAGAACTACCAGGGAGGTACTAGAAATACAATGAGTAAGTATTGTGCTGAGATAAATTATGTGATCTGGTAAACCTTTTTGGCCAAAAGGTAAATAGTGTACCTGGAAACTTGTCAGCTCATTTGAAATAACGTTATTTCCACAAATCTATATACAGGGGGTGTGACGGATCCATCATCCTTTGCCTTTCAAATTCTTAATATTTTCCGTGGGATATTCATTTTATAGAATTTACAGTTTTATAAAAGTAGAGTGATTACAATTGAGACAGAAGAACAAAGGAAAAGGAAATGAACAACTATGGGTCACCCTGTGGTCTTCAACAATGAGCAAGCTAGTTGATAGAAAGCTATTAAACCCTCTTGAATTACAAAATTTGCATCAAAAGATTGTGTACGAAATAAATTCAATAACTTCATCTCATTAACACAATTTTTCTCTTATTGCGAACCCAATGAAAGTTTTCCACAGTGCCATCTCTATCTTGACCAGGTATTTAAACTTTTGCAAGTTCACCTGTCCTATTGAATGAATACAATAGCTATTTTTCTCTGTGTAGTTTATTCACTGGGACCTTTAAATTTCTTCTAAGAGAAATCTATCACTCATTGATTAATTTACCTGAACAAAAAATTTAACTCTCCATGATAAAAATACATGTACCAATACTAAATAAGGACACACAAAACTATATGTGATGTTGATTTATTCAATATCTAATAATTTAGTAGGCTTCTAGAATGTATTAGGGTAAGTTGTCTGCATTGGCTATTTGCAATATTAGCTATAATAAACTGATTTACTTTATTTGCATTATTTAACAATTTTTACTAAATTGTCTACAGCTTTTCATAATTTTGTTCCAATGTTTTGACATTAAATTTTGCTATGTTCCTATGGAAATTTGTGACTTTCAAATTATTTTTTTTGTGTTGGACCAAAAAAACTATGAAAGTGACAATGCTAATATTTACTCTTATTATCCATTTAGACTGTACTTCAATGTACATTTATTCTAATCAAGCTTAAAGGTTTGTGAAAAAATGTCAAAATAAATAATCCTCTCAGACATAGATTTATAGAAATAAAAGGGATAAGTTAACATGAATAACTATCTGTGAAAATAAGTTGGTTTACAGTATTTTATTAAATGTATTCTATAACTAGACAAAAAAAAAAATCAAATTTCAATAGGAACATTGATAAAACTTTTGTTTGAAATCAACTTTTTATGATTGAATCAATGTTTCTATTAAACTGAATGAAAATATATTATTATAATATTGAATAAATACATCATCACACGCAGTTAATGAGTATATAAAAAGTATAAGAAATTTTTTTTACTCAGGTAAATTATTGCGAACCCAATGAAAGTTTTCCACAGTGCCATCTCTATCTTGACCAGGTATTTAAACTTTTGCAAGTTCACCTGTCCTATTGAATGAATACAATAGCTATTTTTCTCTGTGTAGTTTATTCACTGGGACCTTTAAATTTCTTCTAAGAGAAATCTATCACTCATTGATTAATTTACCTGAGTAAAAAAATTTTCTTAATTATAGACAAAAATACTGTTTTTATACTCATTAACTGCGTGTGATGATGTATTTATTCAATATTAATAATATATTTTCATTCAGTTTAATATAAACATTGATTCAATCATAAAAAGTTGATTTCAAACAAAAGTTTTATCAATGTTCCTATTGAAATTTGATTTTTTTTTGTCTAGTTATATAGAATACATTTAAGAAGATCTTAATTTGAACATCATAATTTTCAAGTATTTATTCATGTCAAACAAATTTTTTTTTAAAAGGAACAATGTTGAAAGTTTTGTCAGAAATCAACTTTTTATGATTGAATCAATGTTTATATTAAACTGAATGAAAATATATTATTAATATTGAATAAATACATCATCACACACAGTTAATGAGTATAAAAAAAAGTATTTTTGTCTACATATAAGATCATTTTTTTACTCAGGTAATTTAATCAATGAATGATAGATTTCTCTTAGAAGAAATTTAAAGGTCCCAGAGAATAAACTACACAGAGAACAATAGCTATTGTATTTATTCAATAGGACAGGTGAACTTGCAAAAGTTTAAATACCTGGTCAAGATAGAGATGGCACTGTGGAAAGCTTTCATTGGGTTCGCAATAATCAATGAGTGATAGATTTCTCTTAGAAGAAATTTAAAGGTCCCAGTGAATAAACTACACAGAGAAAAATAGCTATTGTATTCATTCAATAGGACAGGTGAACTTGCAAAAGTTTAAATACCTGGTCAAGATAGAGATGGCACTGTGGAAAACTTTCATTGGGTTCGCAATAATAAAATTTCAAACCCCTTTTATTAAAATTTTGTTTAAACTGTCTAGATTGTAAAATCATGTATTGAATCATTATATAAACTGCTGCTTTTGTTCTAAACTGGCATTTTGTTAAGAGTAGAAAAGTATGATACTTGAAATTAACAGTTGCAATATGCTGTATCTGCAATAGTTTGTTCAGGGCCTACAGTCACAAGCCTTGACTCAGTACTCAGGTGTACAAATTTTGTGCTCGAAACATCAAATCCAGCATTCTGATTGGTTGAATTCTGAGTCTTAGTACAATAATTGTACTTTGAATTTTTGTGACCGTAAGGCGAGGTATTGTACCTTTTATGCTATAAAATGACAATGTAAAATTATGTTTGTGGCAAGAAACAAATTTAATTAAAGGCTAGGGGTAGGTAATAATAAGCTAATACATTTCTTAGGGGATCAATTTTAATGAAACAAATGAGAATTGGATATCGCTTGATATCAACTTGAGTTATTTGATTTCAATATAATGATAAACAAGATTATTGCTACTATTTAAATTAATTAACGAGAGTTGATATCAAGCGATCATATCCAATTCTTACAAGTTGATAAACCTATTTCTCTAATGGTCAACGCATTCATTGTGTTATATAAAAAATTCCATGAATTGTTGATCTAGTCTTTTGCACATACATGTACAAGTATGACGTTATGTGTCCTGTTCCAGCTTCAAAATTTAACATAAGACATTAAAAACATTTTGCACACTTCAGAATGTAATTAAATTTGACAAAAAAGAAAATTTTCAGGGGAAAAGTGTGAGTGTTTTGTATATTATTGACGAAATCATATATGTCAGTTGTCATAGACGAAATTGTCTTAACTTTGGAAGTCATCAATGACCTAATGAATAGCCAATGGAAATGTCGTCATATTGATTCATGATGCTGAATAAGCCAGTCAAATGAATGCATGTTTCGTATCACTTTTTCCTATCACACTCCATGCAGTGTGATACAAGAAATATCTCTTCATGCAAGAAATAGATAACAGGCCACAACCATAAGAGAATAATAATATAACAGTTGTTGCCTTTGTTTGAGGTTGTAACACGAGGATATATATCGACACTAAAATCAAATATTCCTGACGGGATATTTTTGTATTTTATGTTAAAGTCATATGAAACCAGTTTCTTGAAATTTTTATGTTATCTAAATTATTGAACCAATGCATTCATATATACTTAACTAAGTCTTGCATACATGTTTTTCATATTACACATCTGTAACCTATTATCGACAATTATTACATTGGTAGCATTGAATTACATTGATTTCCCAGTCAAATAAAAACCGATAATTTCACATGTGAAATAAACGTGGTTATTTCACTCTCTGACATCATACAACAATAGGCGTTGTCAAGACGTCGATAACGTCGGATCAAAACAAATTGTGAATGCGTAGAAAAAAAATATAGTTCTTTACATTTTCTACATTAATTTCATTAAAAAAAGCCATTTGCCAATGTAATAAAAAGAATAACTAATCAAAGAATTCAAATATCGAAAAATATTCAACTCGTGACCAAACAACACTGATAATTAACTCATGCGCTATGCGCATTTGTGAATTAATGTGTTGTTTGGTCACTCGTTGAATATTTTTCTCATTTTGAATTCTTCGATTAGTTATTCTATAAATAATATTTCATTCAGTGGTTGTTGATCGCAAGCTAATTAACTTTCGAGTTTGTTGCCGAAGATTACCGTATCTTGGCATTGATAAACAATAAAAACAGAGCACATTGAAAGCGTGACAGATAAGTGAATTGAAAGAGCCATGACATTTGTTTTTATATTTTCCATGTGTTCCCATTTGTTAATTAAACTATTCCTTAACAGTTGTTAAATGATTTGTTGTATTAAATTTGTTCTTTAAGAATCTGTTATTTCTATTTACCTTCAAGAGCACATGTGTTTACATACCTTCATTCGGGTTTTCCCCTTGCGTTTGCGCTGTGCGGTGGCCGAAGTTATAACGAGAGGTCTCGTAGTTAAGGTCACTGCATACGGGAAAATATTGGCGAATTAGTGTCTTGGAAGTCAATAAATCAATATTGGAACATTTATGAAGACTTTGATAAAAGAAAGGATTTTCTTTTTAAAAAAAGTTCACGTTTAATACTTCTTTTAGAGTAAAACTTAGTCATTCAAGTATATAAAACATGTTCAACTTTTTTTTTAAATTTGAAGTTTCATATCACTTTAATCATAAAATTTAGGAATAGAAACCCCTCAGGAAAATTTACCACTATACAATATTGCATGCTAAATATTCTACAGAGAATATTACTACATGCTATGTCTTATGGCATGCTTATTTTTGCTAACTTTCTATAGAGAATTTTATTTGATATAGTACAAAGATTTTAACTATAGTTACAGGTGAAGAACAGGCTCCACTAATAATAATACGTAAGTATAATGGAGTAAGCCATCAAACACCCCCCCCCCCCCCCCCCCAAAAAAAAAAAAACCCAAAAAAACAAAAACAAAAAACAACCTAGCTATCTTACTTTTTTGTAAAACCAGTCTGGGCTATATTGGAATCACCTCTTTCATTTGTCAACCTGCCAATTGTCCAAAAAATGTTTTCGTCAAACTTTTATCAGAAATTACTGAACAGAATGACTTCATTTTTTGTCAGCAGCTTGACCATGATTAGTTGTAATGTGTGAGCACTTTTCATATCTGTCAGATACCTACTTTCTGTTTGCAGATACTTTTAAGTTTTCAATATGTTGAATGAACTGAAAATATTTTGTCACACATTTTCTAATACTACTGTACAGAATAACTTCATATTTGGTCAGCAGCCCAACAGTGATAAGTTTTTACTTTTGTGTGCTTTTTGGATCTGTCAGACACCTACTTCCTGTTTTGAAAGACTTTGAACTACAAGTTGCAATATGCTATGACTAAAATTGCATTGTTATTGTTTGTCAGTATTTAAGAACAAAAAATGTATATAAATCTTAATATACTAGGTTAACACTTATGATATATAGTTTATTGTGAATTATTTTATGGTTTAAGATATTCTTATTGCATTTAGCTTTTGAGACTTTGTTTTGTGTCGATTGACTTCTTTTTACCTTGTTAGTGTCAATTGACATTTTACAGGTCACATATGAGATTTTTGATTTGTGTCTTTGGGTTTCTAAAACCATTTTATTTTGATAAGGGGCTTTGAATTAAATTTGCAATTGAAATACAATTTATGCAAAATGAACATTTTTATTATGTGAATACACCCAGAACAAGCAGACTAGACTGGGTATGGGGAAGCCTTGCTAAAACTTTTTTAAATTGAATTTCAAAACAATTTTTCTGTTTTTAAACATCTTCAGATGCTGAAGCACCATGCACTTTTACATGAAAAATATTCAGGAACACTTATTGAGATTATTTTTAGTTGCAAGATGAGCAGTACCGGCTCCTAAATTGTCCTTCTCTTCAATATCTAACACTTTTGAAATACTGTAAGACTGAATAGTTATTCATAATTGTCTTCAGAAGCAGTTAAGGATAAGCATAAACCTAAAGTTGGAAGCTCAGTGGATCTGAAATATATGTTAGGAAATGGGAATAGTTCATCTTCTGGAGTAGAATGGTTTAAAGATGGAAAACCTATTCAGATCTGTTCCACCAAATATATAGAGACTACAAACACCTCATATCCATCCTTAAAAATTGATGACATCACTGTACACGATACTGCAGATTACAGTTGTAGAGTTAATGGGATTGATAGTGTTATAATAGCAGTGTCAGTGCAAGGTAAGAATCTTTGAACATCTGTTTTTTTTGTTTTTTGTTTACATTTTGTAATTTGTTAGTTAAAATAGATAACTTGCATTTTTTTCAGTAAAAGTTGATGAATGTCAAGAACAACTGACCGAGTGTTTTCCTCAATTTGATTTAAAGGCTAATATTTAAAAAAAAAAAGGGTAAAATGCGTGGTTGTACATCATACCAGTTAGTTTATTCTCCCAAATAAAACTTTTTGCTCCTCCAAAAAAGTTTTTTGCTTAACATTCACCTTACAGTTTCTCACACCTTAAACTTGTCTGCTGATGTTCTCAGAAATGCTAGTCAGATGTACTTATGGTTCGACAGTGTGCTTTAAAAATAAATCCTGTTATAAAAATAAGTTAAAATTCAACAAAAATTATCAACAATGAAGATAACCCCTGTTATGTTGCCTAACTGTGTTCCATTTAGCTTAATTAAATCTAATGTATAAGTTGAATTCCACATTGCCAAATGATAAGAAATCAATCTTTACATTTCAGTGCTCACAGGCACTTGGGATGTATTGTTGGGTTACTGTCCATGATATTTAGGTATTGGATCATACAGCATAAATTAATGAAATGAAAAGAGATTGAAAGTTTAATTTAGTATCATTATTGGCATTATTGATTGATAGATATATAATTATCAAGAAATGAACTGCAGAAATTAGAAATTCTCTTCATTAAAAGAGATAAAAACTATCAGATACATACTTGTCAACCTATGAAAATGAAAAAACCTGTACAAACTTTTTATACGACCGCAAAAAAATTTTGTGGTCGTATATTGGTATGACGTTGGCGTCGTCGTCGTCGTCGTCGTCGTCGTCGTCCGGCGTCGTCGTCGTCGTCGTCGTCGTCGTCGTCCGGCGTCGTCGTCCGAATACATATTGGTTTTCGCACTCTAACTTTAGTTTAAGTGAATGGATCTTTTTGAAATTTGACCATAAGGTTAAATACCACAAAAGGAAGGTTGGGATTGATTTTGGGGGTTATGGTACCAACAGTTAAGGAATTAGGGGCCAAAAAGGGGCCAAAAATGAGCATTTTCTAGTTTCCAGACAATAACTGTGGAACGGTGTATGGATCTCTCTGAAATTATACTACAAGTTTCCATACCACAAAGGGATGGTTAGGATTTGCTTTGGGGGGTTATGGCTCAAACCGTTTAGGAATTAGGGGCAAAAAAGGGGGAAAAACAAGGTTGTCCTGGTTAATGGACAAATACTTTAGTACAAAACATAATTTAAAGCAGTGTAAGGGAGATAAATCAAATACATCATTGAAATTATCTCCCTTACACTGCTTTTAAATTATGTATAAAGTAATGGTTAATGAACAATAAAGATAATCTAAAACAGTGTAAGGGAGGTAATCCAAATACAACGTTTTGGTTACTTCCCTTACACTGCTTTTAAATTATGTTTAAAGAAATGCATATTTATGAAGGAAGACCAGTAAAAATATCAGCAAATGTTTTTATCTTTTTTTTTTACAAAAAAATCCATATGAAAGATTTGACACTATATTTTTATTAATTCTATTATAAAATAGATTAAGTTAGCACTATGGTAAATTTAAATGGGTAATTATGGTTGCCAACTCCATTGGAAATTTGAATTGAGATTATGACCATATCTTGAGGGAAAGAATTTTTTTGGGGGAAAAAGGGGGGGGGGGATAAAAAGAAATTGTGGGGGGCCAATTTTTTCTCATTTCAGATTTCAGAAATTAAAAAGAATTATTCTTCAAATATTATTTTTTTTTCAAATTTCAAATATTGAAAAATTTCAAGAAGTAATCTTTAATTGCACAGTATGGCGCATTAGATTTGTAAAATCTTTGATCACATTTATTTATTTGTTATGCCGAATCTAACAGTGTATTTAGATTTTTAATTTTGGGTCCAGTTTTCAAATTGGTCTACATTAATGTCCAAAGGGTCCAAAATTAGACTTTGTTTGATTTTAGCAAAAATTGAATATATGAGGTTCTTTGATATGCTGAATCTAAATATGTATTTAGATTTTTGATTTTTGGCCCAGTTTTCAAGTTGGTCCAAATTGTGGTCCAAAATTAAACTTTGTTTGATTTCAACAAAAATTGAATATATGGGGTTCTTTGATATGCTGAATCTAACCATGTATTTAGATTTTTTATTTGTGGACCCCGTTATCTAATTGGTTCATATTGAGGTCAAAAGGGTCCAAAATTAAACTTTGTTTGATTTCATCTAAAATTGAATTATTGGGGTTCTTTGATATTCCAAATCTAACCGTGTATTTAGGTTTTTAATTTTGGGTCCTGTTTTTTAAATTGGTCTACATTGAGGTCCAAAGGGTCCAAAATTAAACTTAGTTTGATTTTAACAAAAATTGAATTCTTGGGGTTCTTTGATTTGCTGAATCTAAACATGTATTTAGATTTTTGATTATGGGCCCAGTTTTCAAGTTTGTCCATGATAGGGTCCAGTATTTAAACTTTGTTTGATTTCAACAAAAATTGAATATATGGGGTTCTTTGATATGCTGAATCTAAACATGTATTTAGATTTTTGATTATGGGCCCAGTTTTCAAGTTGGTCCAAATTGGGGTCCAAAATTAAACTTTGTTTGATTTCAACAAAAATTGAATATATGAGGTTCTTTGATATGCTGAATCTAACCATGTATTTAGATTTTTTATTTGTAGGCCCCGCTATCAAATTGGTTCATATTGAGGTCAAAAGGGTCCAAAATTAAACTTTGTTTGATTTCATCGAAAATTGAATTATTGGGGTTCTTTGATATGCCAAATCTAACCGTGTTTTCAGATTTTTAATTTGGGTCCCGTTTTTGTCGAGCCTGCGACTTTTGGTCGCAGAAAGCTCGATATAGGGATAGTGATCCGGCGGCGGCGGCGGCGGCGGCTACGGCGGCGGCGGCGGCGTTAGCTAACTTCTTAAAAGCTTTATATTTCAGAAGGTAGAAGACCTGGATGCTTCATACTTTGTATATGGATGCCTCATGTTACGAAGTTTCCGTCAGTCACATGTCCAATGTCCTTGACCTCATTTTCATGGTTCAGTGACTACTTGAAAAAAAAGTTAACATTTTTTGTAATGTTAAATTCTCTCTTATTATAAGTAGTAGGATAACTATATTTGGTATGTGCGTACCTTGCAAGGTCCTCATGCCCGTCAGACAGTTTTCACTTGACCTCGACCTCATTTCATGGATCAGTGAACAAGGTTAAGTTTTGGTGGTCAAGTCCATATCTCAGATACTATAAGCAATAGGTCTAGTATATTCGGTGTATGGAAGGACTGTAAGGTGTACATGTCCAACTGGCAGGTGTCATCTGACCTTGACCTCATTTTCATGGTTCAGTGGTTATAGTTAAGTTTTTGTGTTTTGGTCTGTTTTTCTTATACTGAATGCAATAGGTCTACTATATTTGGTGTATGGAATGATTGTAAGGTGTACATGTCTAGCTGGCAGGTGTCATCTGACCTTGACCTCATTTTCATGGTTCAGTGGTCAAAGTTAAGTTTTTGAGTTTTGGTCTTTTTTTCTAATACTATATGCCATAAGTCAACTATATTTGGTGTATGGAAATATTTTATGATCTATATGTCAGTCACGCAGGTTTTATATGACCTTGACCTCATTTTCACGGTTCATTGATCAGTGTTAAGTTTTTGTGTTTTGGTCTGTTTTTCTTAAACTATAAGCAATAGGTCAACTATATTTGTTATATGGAAGAATTGTTAACTGTACATGTCTGCCTGGCACGGTTCATCTGACCTTGACCTCATTTTCATGGTTCATTGGTCAATGTTTAGTTTTCTTGGTTAATGTTAAGTTTATGTGACAGTTGTAATAAAGCTTTATATTTAGGACTATCAACATAAAATCAATGATTAGTAAAGAAGGCGAGACATTTCAGTGTGTGCACTCTTGTTTAAATTGGTCTTCATTGAGGTCCAAAGGGTCCAAAATTAAACTTAGTTTGATTTTAACAAAAATTGAATTCTTGGGGTTCTTTGATATGCTGAATCTAAACATGTGTTTAGATTTTTGATTATGGGCCCAGTTTTCAAGTTGGTCCAAGTTGGGGTCCAAAATTAAACTTTTTTTGATTTCAACAAAAATTGAATATATGGGGTTCTTTGATATGCTGAATCTAACCATGAATTTAGAATTTTTATTTGTGGGCCCGCTATCAAATTGGTTCATATTGAGGTCAAAAGGGTCCAAAATTAAACTTTGTTTGATTTCATCAAAAATTGAATTATTGGGGTTCTTTGATATTCCAAATCTAACCGTGTATTTAGATTTTTAATTTTAAGTCCCGTTTTTTAAATTGGTCTACATTAAGGTCCAAAGGGTCCAAAATTAAACTTAGTTTGATTTTAGCAAAAATTGAATTCTTGGGGTTCTTTGATATGCTGAATCTAAACATGTGTTTAGATTTTTGATTATGGGCCCAGTTTTCAAGTTTGTCCAAGTTGGGGTCCAAAATTAAACTTTGTTTGATTTTAACAAAAATTGAATATATGGGGTTCTTTGATATGCTGAATCTAACCATGTATTTAGATTTTTTATTTGTGGACCCCGTTATCTAATTGGTTCATATTGAGGTCAAAAGGGTCCAAAATTAAACTTTGTTTGATTTCATCTAAAATTGAATTATTGGGGTTCTTTGATATTCCAAATCTAACTGTGTATTTAGGTTTTTAATTTTGGGTCCTGTTTTTTAAATTGGTCTACATTGAGGTCCAAAGGGTCCAAAATTAAACTTAGTTTGATTTTAACAAAAATTGAATTCTTGGGGTTCTTTGATTTGCTGAATCTAAACATGTATTTAGATTTTTGATTATGGGCCCAGTTTTCAAGTTTGTCCAAGATAGGGTCCAGTATTTAAACTTTGTTTGATTTCAACAAAAATTGAATATATGGGGTTCTTTGATATGCTGAATCTAAACATGTATTTAGATTTTTGATTATGGGCCCAGTTTTCAAGTTGGTCCAAATTGGGGTCCAAAATTAAACTTTGTTTGATTTCAACAAAAATTGAATATATGAGGTTCTTTGATATGCTGAATCTAACCATGTATTTAGATTTTTTATTTGTAGGCCCCGCTATCAAATTGGTTCATATTGAGGTCAAAAGGGTCCAAAATTAAACTTTGTTTGATTTCATCGAAAATTGAATTATTGGGGTTCTTTGATATGCCAAATCTAACCGTGTTTTCAGATTTTTAATTTGGGTCCCGTTTTTTAAATTGGTCTTCATTGAGGTCCAAAGGGTCCAAAATTAAACTTAGTTTGATTTTAACAAAAATTGAATTCTTGGGGTTCTTTGATATGCTGAATCTAAACATGTGTTTAGATTTTTGATTATGGGCCCAGTTTTCAAGTTGGTCCAAGTTGGGGTCCAAAATTAAACTTTTTTTGATTTCAACAAAAATTGAATATATGGGGTTCTTTGATATGCTGAATCTAACCATGAATTTAGAATTTTTATTTGTGGGCCCGCTATCAAATTGATTCATATTGAGGTCAAAAGGGTCCAAAATTAAACTTTGTTTGATTTCATCAAAAATTGAATTATTGGGGTTCTTTGATATTCCAAATCTAACCGTGTATTTAGATTTTTAATTTTAAGTCCCGTTTTTTAAATTGGTCTACATTAAGGTCCAAAGGGTCCAAAATTAAACTTAGTTTGATTTTAGCAAAAATTGAATTCTTGGGGTTCTTTGATATGCTGAATCTAAACATGTGTTTAGATTTTTGATTATGGGCCCAGTTTTCAAGTTTGTCCAAGTTGGGGTCCAAAATTAAACTTTGTTTGATTTTAACAAAAATTGAATATATGGGGTTCTTTGATATGCTGAATCTAACCATGTATTTTGATTTTGGACATTGGACCATAATAGGTAAATTAAAAAAATTCAAGTTCTTAGACCACATTCTTTCTGTGTCAGAAACCTATGCTGTGTCAAATATTTAATAACAATCCAAATTCAGAGCTGTATCAAGCTTGAATGTTGTGTCCATACTTGCCCCAACTGTTCAGGGTTCGACCTCTGCGGTCGTATCAAGCTGCGCCCCAGCGAAGCATTTTATTTCAGCTGATTTAAGTATTTAGTAAAAAAAAATTTATATTCTAAATCGAACAGTTTCCAAACCACAGACCTGCCACCAACTATCTCGAAAGACGAAAACTGTAATGAACTTAATAGGAAACATTGTTTATCTAGAAATCCATTAAAATTTTTTGAAATCAGACATTTTTCTGTCCAGTTCTGATTTAAAATCTACCCCATATGTATAAGCCTCCGCCAGTAAGAGCACTTCTGAATACCAAGAAAGATAACTCTAAATTTATCCATCTTCTCATTACTGATAGACTTAAGAACTGTGCCCATCCTTCTAACTTAATGACATTTAGGTTTAGGTCTTTTGAGTTATTGTGATAAGATAAGAAGATAAAAACAAATGCGACCACTTCCATTTAAGACAAGCACTGTCTTAAAATTAGTACAAATGCTACAATTGTGAAGAATTCAGTAATTTTGCATGAATTTATGATGCTATAACCTGTTGCATAAAAGCATTGTATTGACAAAAACAGCCCATTTTCATGGAACCAAAGTATTGTCCTTTCCAATAAAGAGCTAAAAATATATACGATTGACGAGCAAATCTAACAGACATGTCTACAATTCACCAAATGGGAGTTCTATTAAAAAATAGACTTAGCCTACAGAAACTTTTCTCTCACTACATGCAAAAACAAGAAACTTCATCCTTCTAATTAAATATTCGTGAATTTATTGTTTAAAAAGTGTCTGTCTAAATCATTTTCATGGGTTATTTATCTTTATCCAAATTTATTTCTATTGTAGAACCAGTCATAAAATTACAAAATTCCTACAATGTTAGTTGTGGTGACAATTTAACCATTGGTTGTGAAATGAAAAACTTTCCAGATGAATTGTCTTTTGAAGTGTGTTGGAAAAAGAGGAAAGAATTAAAAGATCAGGATCAAATTTTAGAACCTAGTGATAAATATGGTGAAACATATTCAGATTATCCTCACCTGACTATTTATAGGATATGTAAAGAGGATGAAGGGCACTACTCATGTTGGATTTCATATGAAATATGCGGAAGAACATTTCAGGTTCCTGATGCCAGAACTGCTATTAAGAATAATTTGACAACAGTGAATGTTAATGAAGGTAATTATTTTTTATGACTCAGATTATTCACTGCTGTCTTGCCACTTAGAAGTAAGCCCTTAATTAGCTACCTAAAAGATGACGTTTTGATCCATTTAGTGTGAATGTTTCATATATTCCTCCCAAATATGGGAGGACAATTTTTTATTTAAAAGTCAGTCTTTTTTTTAAAAAAAAACCCGATGTTGGATAGATGTACATGTGACATTATTCTATAAACATACATGAAGAGTAAGAACAAAAGGCTAAAGGTTCCCTTCATGGTCTTCTATGCTAAGAAAATACATTTTTCGAATTTACACGACATGCATGAGGAAAAATCAATGTGAACCCAAAAAGTCAACTTAGAATACTATTTACCAAAATAATAACAATGATGATGGAAAATAGGTGAAATAAAGACAAACTGTAAATGGCCATGATGTCTGTGAATCTGTCTACAAAAAATCATGGAACGAAAAAATAAAGTAAGTAACACTTCAGGATAGCTTATTTACAACTGTTGTAGATTTGAAGATGTAAAATTTGTTGTGAAAGAGCTACTGATTTCTGGCACAGATTAGTGTAATTAATTGTAGCAGGTAAATCGATTAAAACTTCTGTTTTTGAATTTCAGGTAAAGTAGTTCAGCATATTGACAAGAAAATAGATGTAACTGGTAAGAAAATAATATTTGTATTAGATTTTCTGTGCTTTGTTACATTAATTTTTATTGGATTATTGATAAGATTTAAAGGGAAACATATGCTTTGTATTTTTGCTTTTATATAAGAGACTTTTTATTGTTTAAACATTGTGTTATTTGATCTGTTGTAATTATGAATGAAAGCAGATGCATTTCAATAATTAATTATAATGCGATTGTTATGTAACAATTTTTTTCATTGGCTCAAATTTACCATAAATTCCATGGTTGACATGTCGTAACTAAGGAGTGAGCTGCAATGTTGAATTAATTGCTTTGATCAACAAATGTTTCATTACTACAATATAATTGAAAATAACAAAAACACCTACCCCAAAAACGCTGTTTTGATGTGATTTAATTCAAAATTAAATCGTAGAAGTAACATATTAACCTTCAGTTTGAACCTTGTCATTTGTATGATGCCATGTTTAGTCATGATGTTTATGCACCAAAATCATTCATGAATTTTCACGGAATTTTATCTTATTTCAAATTTATAGATACGTGTCAAGTTCAAATGTATTATTTCTTTTTGTAATATGCATTAAAACCATTTTACTGGCTCTGCCAAGCGTTGCCAGTAAAACTACAATTGTGACCATCAAATTGCAAATTGAAGCCGCCAACTCTTCAACTACAGTACTGTAACACTGGCACAGATTGGGATAAAAAACGTACTGTTGTGTTTAAAATCTCCAAAAACCCAGCAGGTCAAATATTTGTTCTTCTGTTTTTTTATTTGGTTTTACTAGTGTAAGAATTAATATCCAAACAGTCAATTGTATGCAGTTTCTTTTTTTTTCTCATTGCAGTTAATAATGCAGGAACAGTAAATATGGTAAGTTTAATAATAAATGTAAATGTGGATTCTCTTTGCTGAACAGTCAATAAAAAAATTATTTATATTGGCTTCACATCTTTCTGTAATATTTTGAAAGATAAAAGGCCAGACATGGACATCATGTTTTTATGATTACCGTTAAGATGAAATTGTGCTACATGTTGCCGTCAGGAAGAAAAATCGATATTATGGATTTATACGATATAATAAAGCTTATTCCTTAGATTCTAGGGATTGAGAGTAGGCATGGCCTTCATTGTCAAGCAAATAATTTTTTATTACTGTCAGCATTAAAATGAGTTTTAAAGTTTTATAGGCATCACTTACTAATTTTGAGCTACCATTAGCATCAAATGGAGATTAAATGGGGAATGGAAATGGGGAATGTGACAAAGAGATAACAACCTGACCAAGGAGCAGAAAACAGTCCAAGGCAACCAATGGGTCTTCCATTTTCCCATTCACTGTCATTTTTGGCTTGATATTAAAATTTGTTTGAGAAAGAGAGCATTTCTGTTTTCAATTAATCAGATCTGAGATTATTTTTACATGTCTGTTTCATTTTACACTGAAAACCATTAACTTATTGGTGTTTTCAACTTACTGTAGGTTTTTAAAGCAATTGCTTTCATGCTATGGCATATGACCATCTTTGTGACCCAGATCAGAGAAACTGCCCAGATCAAGAAAATTTTTTTAAAGCAGATTCCTGGTCTGTCATTCTTAAACACCTATGTATGTTTTCTAATGCAATACATTGATTGAAACTGTTGAAAAACGATGTATTTTTGTATTGTTTGACTACCAAAGAACATTGAAGTCCGAGTTGAAAAAAGTGCATTTTTATACCTGCGATTTCCTCCTTGAGATGCTTCAACAAAATATTGAATCATTTCAGTTTTTGTTTTAATATTGAAAATTTGGCCGAATTATCTCCCGTGCGTTTTTTGTTGTTTAATTCGTGTTTCTTTTCGAAAAAGGTCAAGTTGCTCTTGTTCATTCATAAAATTATTGTTCATTCATAAAATGATCGTAAAATCATTACACATGTTATAGTAATGTAATCTTATCTCACACTATTTGTTTTTAATTAAAAGTAGCACAGTTTACGCATTCTAATTACTCTTACCATGTTTTTAATCCATGAAATAACAGGCCTTATTATTTTAATTGCTGTTGATACTGATAGACTCCACTCTGTAAACAAATGATATAATGACAGTGTCAAATGTCATAATAACCCTAATGATTACCTGTAATCTAAAAATAGAGAAAAATTACTGAACTTGTAATTTTGTTTGCGCAAATAATTTTGCGCAACGAAATCTGTGTTAAAAACACATAACAATAAGTTCGTTTTCCTTTTTTGTCATAATTCCGTAAGATTTATCGATCATCTTATAGATTAAATGGCCCGTTCAAACGTGAAAGAAGCCAAGTTAAGACTAAGAGATATTCACAAACAATTTGGAATTTTCTTGTTTCATAGATTGAAAAAAAAATTTCGTCCATTTGGATATAAAAAAAATGGGAATGCATGACAAATGATGAAACAGATATCCTCGTCTTTCTAGTGGACGAGTCTACTTCGTTTTTGACATGGATCTGATAAAGTCGACGTGTTTGCAATTTTATTTCACATGTTTTCGAGGTTGACGATCATTATTCACCATGTTTCCTGAAAGTTGATAAATATTAAAGCAATGTGGAGCTGTTTTTTCTTGTTCGTGAAATGACAATTTAATTTCATGTTTGTCCGTGATACCCCTTTTTCGAAATTATATGACGATGGCACATATCAGCTGAGAAATAATGTTAGGGACTTAGATTTAAGAAATGATGATAAAGTAGCAGTATTAAAATATTGTTAGTAAGCTGAAGTATATTTATATTTTTTACATGTTTATGTCTTGTAAGATATTTTTTTTCTTTTTTTTTTTCGACCGACCGGACTCTTTCATGTGAAAAATCCGTAAACCAACAAATTAAAAAAACTCTGGTCTTAGTGATGAAATTGGTAAAGCGTAAGCCAGTTTGCAGGTTAATCGACAGTTAAAGTGCCTTTCATGAAAATTTCAAAAGCTGGTCCCATCTTCAAAATATTTAATCTTGTGTGTGAATGAATGATTCTTATTATGAAAAAAAACTACAGTTCGGAAGAACATTTGCGTCAAAAAAGTTGAAATCTTAAACTGAATGGTTAGATTTAAACCAATTATGATAAAATTAAAGCAATAAAGATAATGAAGCCTGGAAATTATTTTCCAGTTATAAACACTCTACCAGGGGATAATCTATTATGATTTCTTTGTGAGTTATATGTTTCTGCAAATATATTTGCCTCCACCGTAAGCCTGGGAAATGTAAAACATGGTAAAAATTACTTTCTGCTGGATAAGTCTTTTATTGATATAAAGTTAAAAATCCTTACTTCTCACTAGACAAGACTCCTGTCAGGTTTAATTCTTATACTTGTGGATGAAAAATAAAGGTCATAAAACATTAACTTGGCAGCCTTGAAGGCTTTGATTATCAAGGTGAGGATGGTCAAAATAGAAAAGTAAGGTAACATTATTATTTTCAGTGTAAATCTATTAATAGAATCATCCCATTTTCTTAATTTTGCTGTTTGAAAAAACTTATCAAGGGTACAAGGCTTCGAAAAGATTGGTGCATAGAAAATGTCACATGATAAGACTTTTGCCTTCCTGAAATTGAAACAACCATTATCCTAACACTCTCCTATGAATTCTAATACATTTGTATGTAGAAATTGACATTGAAGCTGCTCTATTTTTACTGTACATTATAATATTTAATCATATTACTTTTTATTGTATGGCATGATTGTTACTATATACATTAAAAAAGAACAAGCTTGATTTATACAACTCTTTCAGCTCAATGTAGAACACTGTTCATTTCAAAAGCTGTTTATATTTTATATTTTTAGGGTGATGGTGTGAATGCCAACTTCCCAAACAGTACGGGTAATTGTAATGATAATAAAACAAGCAGTGGATCCAGCAACCCAGGTGGAGTTAGTGAAAAAAGTGATAGTAATGTATCAGATTCAAGTGAAAAAAGATTGATCAGAAGCAATGCTGATGAAAAAAGCGCAGCTTATACAAATAACTCAGGTTCAACAGTAGGCAGCAATCAGATGGTTAATACAAATACTTCAGGTTTAACAGCAGGCGGCAATCAATTGGCTACAAACAATGATCATATGTTAGATGTAAATAAACCAAGATCTACTTTATTTTCTCAAATACCAGTCACAGTAAGTATTTGAAATGTATAAGGCAAAAGGTATAGGTAGATATAAGAAGATGTGGTATGAGTGCCGATGAGACAACTATCCATCCAAGTCAAAATTTATAAAAGTAAACCATTATAGGTCACAGTACGGTCTTCAACACGGAGCCTTGGCTCACACCAAACAGTAAGCTATAAAGGGCCCCAAAAAATTACTAGTGTAAAACCATTCAAACGGGAAAACCAATGGTCTGATCTATATAAAAAACGAGAAACGAGAAACACTTATGAACCACATCAACAAACGACAACTACTGAACATCATTTCTCTATTAAAATAATTGTGTGCTTCAAGGAGCATGTGTTAGCAGTGACAGCTTTTCTTTTGTATTGAAATTGCCTTCCTGAAATTGAAACAACCATTATCCTAACGCTCTCCTATGAATTCTAATACATTTGTATGTAGAAATTCACATTGAAGCTGCTCTATTTTTACTGTACATTATAATATTTAATCATATTACTTTTTATTGTATGGCATGATTGTTACTATATACATTAAAAAAGAACAAGCTTGATTTATACAACTCTTTCAGCTCAATGTAGAACACTGTTCATTTCAAAAGCTGTTTATATTTTATATTTTTAGGGTGATGGTGTGAATGCCAACTTCCCAAACAGTACGGGTAATTGTAATGATAATAAAACAAGCAGTGGATCCAGCAACCCAGGTGGAGTTAGTGAAAAAAGTGATAGTAATGTATCAGATTCAAGTGAAAAAAGATTGATCAGAAGCAATGATGATGAAAAAAGCGCAGCTTATACAAATAACTCAGGTTCAACAGTAGGCAGCAATCAGATGGTTAATACAAATACTTCAGGTTTAACAGCAGGCGGCAATCAATTGGCTACAAACAATGATCATATGTTAGATGTAAATGGTTTATTTACATCTAACATATGATCATTGTTTGTAGCCAATTGATTGCCGCCTGCTGTTAAACCTGAAGTATTTGTATTAACCATCTGATTGCTGCCTACTGTTGAACCTGAGTTATTTGTATAAGCTGTGCTTTTTTCATCAGCATAGGATTTACATGATAAAAAATTTTGTATGCCCCCGCCGCAGCCAAGGGGGCATTAAGTGTTACCCTTGTCAATCTGTATGAACGCCCCAAAATTAGTTTCAGTTCTCTAACTCCAGTTTGCCTCAACAAAATGTTATAAAACTGATACACAATGCTAATTACCACAAAACACAGATCAATTTGAATTTGGGTGGCATCACTTATACTGTTCTAGAGTTATGTCCCTTTACAAACGAAAAACTTGCTAAATTTTTCGTTTCTGTTCCCTTACTTTAGTTGGCCTCAACCAAATGTTATGAAACTTATACACAATGCTTATTACCACAAAACTCAGATCAAATCTGAATTTAGGTGGTATCACTTTTATTGTTCTTGAGTTATGTCCCTTTATAATGTTATATGCAAGCAGGGCATCATCTATTAAGTGGATACTAGAAGCAATTTCAACACAAAAGAAAAGCTGTCACTGCTAACACATGCTCCTTGAAGCACACAATTATTTTAATAGAGAAAACCAAAAAAGTGCCATCTGATTCAAGGTGTAGATAATTCTTGGGACTTTTTTCTTATCCAAATATACATAACGCTAAATGATGTAATGAAAAAAGAGGTTATATAAACAGACAAATTCCAATTGTGAATTTCAATCATTTGAAGAAACAGAAAGTTTTTGGCATTTGTACACTATCAAAAGTTGCCATTTCAACTCAATAAATAGCTAATGATTTTTAAAAATAAGGAGATATGCTAAGAATGTCAATGAGACAACTATCTACCAAAGACCATAGGGCAAGAACATGAAAAACTACAGCTCACCTAATGACCTTTAACAATGAGTAAAACCCATATAGTATAGTAAGCTATAAAAGACTCTTGGATGATAAAATCTTTGTTTTCTGTATGTTAGTATTTAAAGTAAAATGTAAAATGTAATTGAAGTTTTTCCATTTTTGTAGAATAATGTAGACATATCTACCATAAAACAGGTAGCTAAAAGAATGAACTTTACTGTGAAAAATGTACCTGCTGATGGAAACTGTTTGTTTCATGCGGTAGCTTATCAAATATGCTTTTTGTTGATCAGCAAACATATTTTGGAAAAAATCTAAGGAATTGAGACAAAAAATAGTTGACTTTTTGAAAAACAATGATAAGACCCCCAGTGGAGAAAAATATTCTTCTTTTTTGTCATGTAATGAAAACGAAAGACATGAAGAATGGACAAAGTATTTAGATGGCATGTGTAAGCAAGGAGAATATGGGGATGAAATTGTTGTAAGAGCAATAAGCCATTGTTTTAATGTTAATATATGGGTTCTTTCAACTCACAGATCCAATGACTTTACCAAATACCCTGCTGCCAGCTCACCTGATACTTCTAAAATGGTATATCTGGGATATATTCACGAGAGTTTACACTATATGATATTATCATTTCCAAAAGGTACAGTTTTTATAGTTACCTATACAGTTTTTATACGACCGCAAACAAATTTTTGTGGTCGTATATTGGTATGACGTTGGCGTCGTCGTCGTCGTCGTCGTCCGGCGTCGTCTGAAGACACATTGGTTTTCGCACTCTAACTTTAGTTTAAGTGAATGGATCTCTATGAAATTTTACCATAAGGTTCAATACCACAAAAGGAAGGTTGGGATTGATTTTGGGGGTTATAGTACCAATAAATAGTAAAGGAATTAGGGGCCAAAAATAAGCATTTTTGTAACTTCCAGACATAACTTGTGTGTTAGTGTATGGGTCTCTCTGACATTGTACCACAAGGTTCCATATCACAAAAGGAATGCTGGGATTGATTTTGGGGGTAATTGCCTCCAAATTTTAGGAATTAGGGGCCAAAAAAGGGGCAAAAAACAAGCATTTTTCTAGTTTCATGACAATAACTTGTGTGTAAGTGTATGGATCTTTCTGAAATTGTACTACAAGGTTCCATATCACAAAGGGAAAGCTGGAATTGAGTTTGGGGGTAATTGCCGAAACGTTTAGGAATTGGGGGCCAAAAAGGGGCCAAAAATAAGCATTTTTCTAGTTTCCAGACAATAACTTGTGTTCAAGTGTATGGATATCTCTGAAATTGTTCTGCAAGGTACCATACCACAAAGGGAAGGCTTGGATTGATGATGGGGGTAATTGCCTCAATATTTTAGGAATTAGGGGCAAAAAAGGGGCAAAAAACAAGCATTTTTCTAGTTTCAGGACAATAACTTGTGTGTAAGTGTATGGATATTTCTGAAATTGTACTACAAGGTTCCATATCACAAAGGGAAAGCTGGGTTTGAGTTTGGTGGTAATTGCCCTAAACGTTTAGGAATTTGGGGCCAAAAAGGGGCCAAAAAACACATTTTTCTAGTTTCCAGACAATAACTTGTGTTCAAGTGTATGGATCTCTCTGAAATTGTACTGCAAGGTACCATACCACAAAGGGAAGGCTGGGATTGAGTTTGGGGGTGATGAATCATAAGGGGGTTCAAAAAATTTGGGGGGGGGATTTTTTTTTTTTCCTTTTTTTTCTTTTTTTTTCCTTTTTTTTTTCTTTTAAAATTTTCCATTTTAAGTTGGTTATTTCTGATTTATATTTAAAAGCAAATAATAATGATATGGTAGGAGATACACACCAAACAGGATGTGTAAATTATTATATAATAAGTATTGTGCAATAGCAAGAAATTTTCAATTGCACAGTATTGCACAATAGCAAGAAATCTTCAATTGCACAGTATTGCGCAATAGCAAGAAATCTTCAATTGCTCAGTATTGCGCAATAGCAAGAAATATCCAATAGCACAATATTGCGCAATAGCAAGAAATTGTCAATTGTACAGTATTGCGCAATAGCAAGAAATATTTAATTGCACAGTATTGTGCAAAAGAAGATACTTCGTATAAATTGCTTATTTCTTGACCAATTTCAATGGGGTTTTATTCTTGAATTCTTGGGTTTCTTTAATATGCTGAATCTAACCGTGTATTTAGTTTTTGGATTTTGGGCCCCGTTTTTAAATTGGTCCACATTGAGGTCCAAAGGGTCCAAAATTAAACTTTGTTTGATTTGATCAAAAATTGAATTATTGGGGTTCTTTGATATGCCGAATCTAACTGTGTATTTAGATTCTTAATTTTTGGTTCCGTTTTCAAATTGGTCTACATTAAGGTCCAAAGGGTCCAAAATTAAACTTAGTTTGATTTTAACAAAAATTGAATTCTTAGGGTTCTTTGATATGCTGAATCTAAACATGTATTTAGATTTTTGATTATGGGCCCAGTTTTCAAGTTGGTCCAAATCGGGGTCCAAAATTAAACTTTGTTTGATTCAACAAAAATTGAATATATGGGGTTCTTTGATATGCTGAATCTAACCATGTATTTAGATTTTTGATTTTTGGGCCCCGTTATCAACTTTGTCCACATTGAGGTCAAAAGGGTCCAAAATTAAACTTTGTTTGATTTCATCAAAAATTGAATTCTTGGGGTTCTTTGATATGCTGAATCTAACCATGTATTTAGATTTTGGATATTGGACCATAATAGGTGAATGTCCAATTTAAAATTTTTCAGTTCTTAGACCACATTCATTCTGTGTCAGAAACCTATGCTGTGTCAAATATTTAATCACAATCCAAATGCAAAGCTGTATCAAGCTTGAATGTTGTGTCCATACTTCCCCCAACTGTTCAGGGTTCGACCTCTGCAGTCGTATCAAGCTGTGCCCTGCGGAGCATTTTATTATGACTTACTATACAATTTTTATATGACTGCAAAAAATGTTTGCGGTCGTATATTGGTATGACGTTGACGTCGTCGTCATCCGAAGACACATGGGTTTTCGCACAAAATCATTTTAAGTAAATGGATCTCTATGAAATTTTACCAGAAGGTTCAATACCACAAAAGGAAGGTTGGGATTGATTTTGGGGGTTATGGTACCAACAGTTAAGGAATTAGGGGCCAAAAAGGGGTAAAAAATAAGCATTTTTGTAACTTCCAGACAATAACTTGTGTTTAAGTGTATGGATCTCTCTGAAAATATACCACAAGTTTCCATACCAGAAAGGGATGGTTAGGATTGGCTTTGGGGGGTTATGGCTCAAACCGTTTAGGAATTAGGGGCTAAAAAGGGGGAAAAACAAGGGTTTCCTGGTTAATGGACAATTTAAAAGCAGTGTAAGGGAGGTAATCCAAAAACAAAATTGTACAATGTTGTACAATGTTGGATTACCTCCCTTCCACTGCTTTTTAATTATCTATTAAAGACTTTTATGATATGATGTATTAAAATGGGTAATTATAGTTGAAAAAGGGGTGGGTAAAAAAGAAATTTTGGGGGAGGGGGCAATTTTTTCTCATTTCAGATTTCAGAAATTAAACATAATTTCTTCACATATTTTTATACGACCGCAAAAAAATTTTGAGGTCGTATATTGGTATGACGTTGGCGTCGTCGTCGTCGTCGTCGTCGTCGTCGTCGTCGTCGTCGTCCGAATACACAATGGTTTTCGCACTCTAACTTTAGTTTAAGTGAATGGATCTCTATGAAATTTTACCATAAGGTTCAATACCACAATAGGAAGGTGGGGATTGATTTTGGGGGTTATGGTACCAACAGTTAAGGAATTAGGGGCCAAAAAGGGGCCGAAAATAAGCATTTTTGTAA